GCATTATACTAAGTACCTCAGCAATATAGTTTTTGTTTATTTACAATTAAATGAAAGTAACACAATTTCAAAGTTTTATTAACCAAGCTATACACTCTACATAAATATAAAATTAGTTAAAAATGATATTACTGAATAACAAAAATTAATAATTAATGAATTATGACAAAATGCCTTAGTTAGGATTAAAAATTATATATGTATATAACAATTAATATAATAACACAACAAAATTTATAATTACCATTTAAAAGTATATCCACACTTATATTAAATAAAACTCAATATATTTTGTGGGTCTTCCAGTCTTCAATTAAATTTGTATCATTTTATAAAACTATTAATACATAGCACTATTAAGAACTACAACAGTCCTATTTTTTCTTCAGGGTAGCTATAATAACAAATTCACAAATATCCCAATTATTTCTTCTTTAAACATTTTCTAAGCTATTAACGTTAAAAACCATCTTATCAGATAAAAAAAATTACATGCTATATAATATTATGTATAGTTTGTTCAATGATCTTTCAAAAGTTACGTCATATACTGTCGTACTTGCTCTTTTAGATGACAACCTGATGAAAGAGATTGTCGAGGTTATTACTACATTTTGTAAATTTCTCCGTATACTGTTTCTGGCAATTGTTATTTGTTTGTTTTTTTTTAACGGATCTCAAGACTAAAAAAACATTGTGCTATGAAACAAAATTCATTGTTTTTATTAGTAAACTGCTTCCTCTACTTAGCAATAATGCATATAAAGCTCTAATTGTATTTTCTGTCATTTTTATGTCATAATGTGATTTGATCTCAGACACACCCTAAAAATCTTATTTAATAAATATTGATTGAACTATCCTTGGACAAACTATAGCTTACAAAATTCTCTTAAACAGATTTATACAGAGTAACAATTTGAAAAAAAAACTCTAGGATTTATGACATCAACAATATTTAATATCTAAAATGAACCACAGAAAAATGTACAGATATAAATATACATAAAGACTAAAATTCAACTGAGAAAAAAATAGCATTAACAACAAAAACAGCATTTCTTTTTAAAGTTTTAAGCGGCAGATAAAAAAAACAACACTCAGCAAATAAAAAGTTAATTTTTCGGAGCAGTTTAGATTATTTGTCGTGCTACGCGGGCGTAGTGAGTCTATTGTTGATAAAGAACATTGTATAGATCTTAATAATTTAAAATTAATTAAACAAGTCTCAAATTACAGGCAATTAGATGGATATGAAAGCATCAGAATTAATAAATGTAAAGATAGTATGAACAGAGACAACGGTCCAATTCCTTCAAGTTCTTTGTTCCTGCTACTCTAGTGGCGGAAATCTAACTGTTACGCTCAGTGGGCTCTGACTCGGTTGGCTATATTTTGCCACGCCCACTCGGTGTCCCTGAGCGAGTATATAAACGCTCAACTTGTAGATTGTACTTTAGTTGATAATCATCTGCTGATGATGCTAACATGATTAGCGAAACGCGCGTCCAGTGTAAAAGTAAAAGTGTTTTGGTGTGTTGTGGTGATTTAGTGTTTTTATTTTGCTGTGTAACACCAAAGGTTCCAACCCTCAACTGTAATCTAGTACTAAATTACTAATAATTCATTTGCAGTATAAAATATAAATACTTTTGAATACATCTTAAATTCACATACTAATATATACATTTAATTATTGATCCTACTCCGAAAAATATATTAAACAATTTGAAGAAATGGTCCTTTAAAATATTTACAATAATTTGAGAGTATAATACAGGGTGGTCCGAACTGTATTCCGGGAACTTCGGCAGAATATTCTGCAGATAAAAATAAGTAAAAAACTTCGTATAAATGTATGTCCTAAAATGCTTAGTTTCGGAGATACCTACGTTGAATAATATACGGAGATCTGAAGTAACTGCAATATTTGGATGAAAATTGGTGCCTGGGAGTTTTTTGACATGAGAAATTTGATTTTAATGTCATTATGACTCCTACTTGTAGAGGGCGCCACCTACGTATTTTTTAACTGGTTTAAAGAGCGATAACTTTTCGTCCGTAAATGTATAAAACTACTAAGTAAAAAAAATACAGATTTACGACGTTTTTTACGTAGAAAAAATCTCTTGAAAAAAATTACTGCAAGTAATGGTTCTCGAGATATTTGATATCGAAATTATCAATACCTGTCAACATTGACATAAATTAAACATGTTGACTAAATAGTTATTAGACTGAGATCATAAATTTGAAATGTTTTTGTGCGAAAAGTTCAACAGAACTGTCTTATCATCATTTTTTCCAAGAAAAATTTATGATTAATTTTAAAAAAATAAAAAGTTCCCAAATTAATCTTTTTAGTCAAATAACTATCTACTCAACATGTTTTTTTGTTAATAATGACATGTATTGACTGTTTCTACTCTAAATATCTTGAGAACGGTTGCTCGTAGCGATTTTTACCAAGAGGCATTTTTTACGTAGAATATTCAAAAAAGTTAAAATACATATAGGTGGCACCCATGATAAAAAGAATACAAGGTATGATATTGCGCAGGTTGGTCACTACGTCACAGGTGATAAACGGCACTATTGGTCGGCAAGCTCTACGCGCCAATTTCAAATTGTCAAATAGATTGTGTCATCTGTGAAATTTGATTGTGTCAAAATGTGAAAATAATTTTTCAAATGTCAAGCTCGATGTCAAAACATAACTTTTGGGGTTATGTCCTAATTCTTCCCAATTTTAGGTCTTTTTTTATTAGTGGCAATTGAACAATATGGATATTTTTTTTTGTATGGCGTATGACGTCACAGGTGGTATGCGCAAACTTAACGAAATTGGAGCCGCTATCAATCATACCTTGTTTTCTTTGTACCATGGGTGGCACCAACAAGGTATGATCGATAGCGGCTCCAATTCGTTAAGTTTGCGCATACCACCTGTGACGTCATACGCCATACAAAAAAATATCCATATTGTTTAATTGCCACTAATAAAAAAAGACCTAAAATCATTGCCTAAAATAGAGAAGAATTAGGACATAACCCCAAAAGTTATGTCAAATCATCGAGCTTGACATTTGAAAAATTATTTTCACATTTTGACACAATCAAATTTCACAGATGACACAATCTGTTTGACAATTTGAAATTGGCGCGCAGAGCCTGCCGACCAATGGTGCCGTTTATCACCTGTGACGTAGTGACCAACCTGCGCAATATCGTACCTTGTATTCTTTGTATCATGAGTGGCAGCCCCTACAAATAGGAGTCATATTGACATCAAAATCAAACTTCTCATGACAAAAAACTTCCAAACACCAATTTTCATCCAGATATTGACGTTACTTCAGAAATGATTTGGAAAAAATAGAAATAAAAATGAAACTTCTACACCCTGTATCTCCGAAACTAAGTATTTTAGGACATACATTCCTCGGACATAAGTTTCCGGAATACAGTTCGGACCACCCTGTATACAAATGTTTAGCGAGTTAAGGCTCTAAAAATTTTAGTAAAGAAAAAAGTTCTTATCTAGTGCTAAAGATCAACTATTTAATAAATAAATATATTAAAAGTTGCCTAGAATGTTCCATAGTAATTACTATATTATGATAATTATGATACATACAGGGTGTCATTGAAATGGTGTAAAAAAATCGGGGGGTGATAGTACTCCTAAAAATAGTAAAAAAAAGTTCCCTTAAGTATAGGGCGGAAAATGCATATTAAGGGAGTTAGGGGCACCGAGAGGGTGAATTTAAAAAACGGTTGTTTTGAAATTGCATGCTTAAAAAACGAGATAAAACTTCGAAAAAAAAATCCTCGGCCATAAATTTTGACCCTAAATCAAATGCTGATACTGAAAAATTATTTGGAAAAGCGGAAATGGTAGTTTTTGCAAGGGTAGGGCGTTGTTTCGTGAATAACTTTTTTGAGGTTATTTTTTTTGCAACGTGGGTTCATTTTTTGAAAACCACATACTTTTTTCTACAAAAAAGGCACTCTTGTTGCACATCGATGGTTTTCGAGAAAATTGAAAGCAAAGAGATTGCTCTGATGGGTTGCTAACCTAACTCGTTAATCAAAATAAACTTATGAAAGTTATGGCAGTTCAAAAGTAACCAAGTAGTTATTAAATAATTAATTGGAAAATCAAAATTTCATGATTTTTAAAACATCTTATTGCTTTAAAAACGAAATAATTTTTTTTTGGTTTTAAAAAAATTTGGTTTACTCAGTGCCGATTAATACTGAAGAGCGACTACGGCAACGCATTATTGACTGTTCCAATCAAATTCGGACAACACCAAGAATATTCCACAGGGTGCCTACGCAGATCGTGGAGAAGATTAGATGTTTACATTGAAATGAATGGTGGTCACTTTGAACATTTACTATGAATGAATTAAGGAATGCATTATTTTAATAAGGAATTTTGGTAATTGGATTATTTCGTTTTTAAAGCAATAAGATGTTTTAAAAATTATGAAATTTTGATTTTTCAATTAATGATTTGATAACTACTTGGTTACTTTTGAACCGCCATAACTTTCATAAGTTTATGTTGATTAACCAGTTAGCAACCCATCAGAGCAAACTCTTTGTCTTCAATTTTCTCGAAAACTATCGTTCTGGGCGATGTGCAACAAGAGTATCTTTTTTGTAGGAAAAAGTATGTAGTTCTCAAAAAATGAACCCACGCGTTACAAAAAAAATAACCTCAAAAAAGTCATTCACACAACAACCCCCAACCCTTGCAAAAACTACCCTTTCCGCTTTTCCAAATAATTTTTCAGTATCACATTTGATTTAGGGTCAAAATTTATAGCAGATGATTTTTTTTCGTTTTATCTCGTTTTTTAAGCCTACAATTTTAAAACAAACGTTTTTTAAATTCACCCTTTCAGTGCCCCTAACTCCCTTAATATACATTTTCCGCCCTATACTTATTGGAACTTTTTTTACTATTTTTAGGAGTTCTATCCCCCGATTTTTACACCATTTCAATGACACCCTGTAAAGGTATGTCACTGATTATGAATTAGTAACGTCTGTCCAACGAGAGAAGAGATGACTTTGACAGACACTATCCAGAAATTCACAATTTTTTTTTTATTAATTCACTGGTAAATTGTATTTCCTGTCATTTTTATGTGGTCTGTCGAAATCTTTCCTGAGTTGTTGGACAGACTAATTTTACATTTTGTACAGTTTTACTGTACTATAATTTATATAATGATGAGAAATGAGTATAATTATTATTATCAAATCTTGATTCAGTCTAATTTAAAATTACAATGCCTGTATAGGCTTGGGCATCTTGGAACTAAAACAAAGATAAAAGTAACTGACTTAACAAGGTCGACAGAGACACAAAAAGAAAGAAGAGGAGCCTACGTATTCGATTATCCCGTACAGGGTTGCCAACTCCTGTATACATAGAGAAAGGTTAAAATAAGTGAGGTGGAAATAACATTGAAGCAAGCACATCACTACAATGCAGAATATGTGACGTTATTTATTTCATGCAACTGTCAATAATGCATATCATATAAATTAAAACATACTGCTTTAAGCTGTGTGCCTATCATTTTCAACAATTAAATATAAAACTACGTTGTTCTTTTTAACGTTTAACGTTAATAGAAGACGTTTTCAAAAATTAATGAAATTTCAGTTCATGTTTATAGCTTTATTTCAAAAACTAAAAATACATGTTCTTTTATAAATAGTAGGTAGATATATGCATTTTGTATAATTTTTTTACACTTTATTAGTTTAATTTTGAAAAAATTAAATTAGCCATCCAAAAAGAGGCATTGTAACAATACAAAATTTAAAATTTCAAATAAACTTCAACTTAAATTTCCATTAAAACAAAAAATATTTTCTGAACAGTATAACAGAGTATAACCCTTTCCTTAATCAAGGGTATAACACATTAAAAAAATAAACAATTTAACTCACTAACATAACAAATATATATATATATATATATATATATATATATATATATCAATGCATTTGGTATGTATTGGCATAATTTCAAAATTCTTTTTTTTCCATTTTTATATTTTGTATTTCTAACAACCCGATTTTGTTTTCATTTTGAGTTCCTCTACGTTTCTGAAAATAAAAAAAACAAATACATATATTTATTTCTCGAAAACGCCCAAAGTAATTATGTAAAGCCTTCCACAGGCGTCGTTCAGGTTTAGCCATCCAGGTAAAATAGTCAGTGTGTGATTTTAATCATAGAGTTTGCAGTAAAGTAAAGACGGCATTTTTAGATCTATAGTCTGTGTTACCAATCAGGGGATATTTCGACAGAAGACATCCAAAAAATGCAATTTGACTGTGAATTAAAATGACAGAGACAACTGTCGCTGTCAGGAATCCTGTTGTTGGACAGATTAAGAAGATAATGAGGCGTCAAGATGCAAAACCCGTCTCATCCCACAAACGTTGTTTCGAGATAATAAGCAAAAACTGTTTTAGCAAATGTTTGAAGCGTTAATTTACAAAAAAAAACGTGTCCATTGAGTGGAATCATTGTTTGTACCTCGTTTTTCTATAAATAAAAATTAATATTTAATTTTTAAACAGAAAAAACAAAAATAACTCGGATAAGGCAGGTTTTGTTGCAGTATAATGCATATTGCGGGTTTTGATACAATATGATCAAGAAAAAACGGCGTCAGCGATAGCTATAAAATGAAGAACGCTGTCATTTTATATATAAATTTATATGGGACGTCATCGATCGTCATTTCCTAGCCAAGTGGACGCCGTTTTTTTTCGATCATACGGTATTTGTATCTTAACTTGATTTATTAAATATACTATTTTATTACAATTAAGTAAGGATTTGAAAAGACGTTAGTAGTAATATACTTGTGTAAAAAGCTTATGAAAAAATGCGGGATTTGTAACAATAAAAGCAAATATCAGTGGATAAGACGGATTTTGCTGCAGTAACATAATTTATAGTGCATTTTATAAAGGAATAGGCGGACTTTTACTGTAGTTTAGGATTATGTTTATGTAGATTTCAGGGTCCACTATTAATATATGTCATTAGGCCATTTTTTTTTAAATCGATAAGACAGGTTTTGCAACTTGACGCCTTATATGTATTTACCCGTCTGAAGAAATAATATAATAATGTTGTTTTTTGAAAAACGGTTAGAAATAAACAAAATTTGAATGTATACTGGGACTAACAAAACATAAGCAGTTGCAATCAAATTATTTTCAAAAATAGTAAGATTAAATAATCTGCATAATATATAAAATGCTAATGTTTATCTTTGTGTCGTCTCTACTGAAGTAACGACTTGCTCTAGAAAGTTGCTTTTTTACTAAAAGATAGCTAATCGGCTCTTCTAAAAACTGTCGTCGTCGGATTTTCTGTTTTTCATTTAATTAAAAAAAAAATAAAAAGTAAAAACCAAACAAATTTTTAAAAATGTTAATAATAAAAAGCACTTTTTCTCATTTATAACAAGAAATGCTAAGTTTAACAGCTAAAACCCAAGTGGCACAAATAAACCTAATTTTAGTTTTTTAGACCAACAAAATTACAAAACAAACCTGTGTTACATGATTTTGTCTATTTTTAATAACAAAAAAAAAACATTTAATACAGACTTATTGGGATCTCTCGTTAGCGTCATCTTTTACAATTATCCCCGAGAAAAAGAACTGACTTATACATGACGTCATTATCAACTATTTGGATTTGTAGGTAGGTAGACGCAAACTTTGAATTATTGAATACATTTTAGCACTTTTGAATAGAATAGAAATAAGGGTTATCAAATTAAATTTTTTTTTCGATGAAATTAATTTGTTACTATCAACCTTACTTTTATTTAAAAAAATTACGATCTTACAGTGCTATTTAGTGTGTTTGGAAAATTTTGCATGATAAGTTTAACTATACCAGTTATAAGTGTATCATAATTTTAATCTGTTTTATTCTTATTTAAAACAAATATATACATATTGAAGAACTTTAACGTTAATAGAATATTTGATATGACTCTGTCCAATTTAATTTTTCTTTGAGAAAATATATACCGGGTGCGTCTCAAAAGTGGCTCACCCCTATAACTTTTTTATTTTTTAGATAAAAAAACGAGATTTGGTATGTTAGTATATGACATAAATTAGGACTGATTGACGTATCCAATCGTTTTTGGTCAGTTCCCATTTCACCGGAAATGATTACAACTTTTGATTTTTAAATGGCACCCTCGGTATATTTCTACTTTATTCGACAGAAAATGAAAATGTCAACTTCTGATATTTTCGCTTAAAAAATAATCCTATTTTAAATTTCAATCTAGAGTGCCATGGCCGTGTTAAAAACACTAATTTTTAATCAAGGAGCCTTGGAAAATAGATTTGATCGTCTAATGTTTTTCGTGTCTTGTCCTTGCGGGTTAAAAGATGCCCAAATCGTATTTTTAATCATATCTCAATTTTTTCGAATGGGACAAGGGTGGCTTATTAGCATCTTTGGAAAAAGCATTTTTTTACGAATAATTTGGCACCATACACTTAGTATTTCGAGTCAAATTGTCGTTATGATCCGCATGTTACAATTTTAAATAAACCATACGCGAAAATATCAAAAGTTGACATATGATATGTCATTCTATTCAGAGTGTCATTTTCTATCGAATAAACTAGATATATATATATATATCGAGGGTGCCATTTAAAAATCAAAAGTTGTAGTCATTTCCGGTGAAACAGGAAGTGACCAAAAACAAATGAATACGTCAATCAATCCAAATTTATTTCATATAGTAATAACATACCAAATCTCGTTTTTTATCTGAAAAAAAAAATAAAAAAGTTATAGGGGTGAGCCACTTCTGAAACGCACCCGGTATAGAATTAATTACTAGTGTTTTTATATGCACCATCACATAGCTTGGCTTCTATATTAATCAGTTACATTTTCAATGTTTTCCAATTCGTTAAGAACAAGATCGTTTGTACTAATTCCTTCATTCAGCTCTGAATTTGTCACATCTGAAACAGTATCGGGATCAGTCAAAATATTATTAATACTTTCCCCACAGATTTCTGTACTATTCTCAGGAAGGAGATCACCGTCTTTTTGACTACTAATTTCCATATTTGTTTGCTTTAAGACCTCCACCGGGTCGTTTGACTCCAAATTACTGCTATTGCTTCTGTTCAATTCGTTTAATGTAATCGATTTGTCTCCATTACTTTCCAACGTTGAATTTAAATTATCTTCATTATCATCCGTGTGACTGGTTTCATCACTACCGTCCGCTGGAAGTTTTTCTGAAGTATCTAATGGATCTAACTGGTCCTTGGTTGCTTCATTATTCACCTCATATTCCGAGACAAACAGGTCTATAATGTTACTTTCATCTAGATTCTTTGGTTCCTCTGAACTACAGTCAGTATTATGATTTTTTTCATTTAATTTGATTTTTTTCTGTTTATGTTCTTCTGGAGCTGACTCACTTTCACTGTCATCTCTGTGCCTTTTCTTACTAACTTCTTCAATACTTTCCTCCTCAACTGCATTACTATCAGTATTATCAAAATGTTTATCAACACTTGTATCGTTTTCGTTGATTTTATCTACCTCAGTTTCTTTAAGGGTAGACTCATTATCACTATCATCTTTTTGCTTTTTCTTTCTAACTTCGTCAGTACTTTCCTCCTCAACTACGTTACTATCAGTACTGTCACAATGTTTATCAACACTTGTATGGTTTTCCCTGCTTTTATCTACATCAGTTTCCTTAAGGGCAGAATCATTCTCACTATCATTTCTTTGCTTTTTCTTACTAACCTCATCAGTACTTTCCTCCTCAACTATGTTACTATCAGCACTATCACATTGTTTATCAACACTTGTATCATTTTTACTGCTCTTATCTACATCACTTTCTTCAAGGTTACTCTGAGCTTTTTCAGTTTCGTTTAAAGATTTTTTTTCAGAGTCTGTCGTTGAAGAGACTGGACCCTCTTCAAGATCTTTATCAGATTCATTTTCTGAAACCTCCAAAGTGAAGAAATCGGTATTTTCATTTAATTCTTGATCACGATTTGAGTCGTCTGATAATTCAGACCTGACACTTGGAGTCTTTTCAGTTTTATCCAAGTTCTTGATATCATTTGGAAGAGTGCTCGAGTCGTCGTTATATTTGTCATGAGTTATTTTATTGATCAAGGCACTTACAGACTCTGTAGCTTCATCTTCATCGTCGGAGTCAAATGATGTCCTAATACTAACGTTATTTTCTTCAGCTGCTTGAGACGACGATTGAATATCGTCGTTTTCACAGTTTGAATCTGAATATAGATTGGTATTTAAGGTTGACGATTTTTTTAATAACGATTTCAACGGACTTCCGTTGATGTTGTGCTTCTTCTCTGCTTTAACTTCGACGCTCAACACGTCGGAAAAACTGACGGTTTTCCGGGATTTACTGGAGGATGGTTCATCGTCAAACATCTTTTGACTTGCTTTCGTCGGTGTAGAACGTAGTGAAGTTTTAGGACTATAACTAGCTTCGTTATCGTTAGTGTCTATTTCATTACTAATATTTGTTGAACTAATATCTCTGTTACACTCATTTACATTTGTAGTTGCATATAAGTCCATTTTTAACAGTTTAACATATAGCTTTTTTTGATCGCTCTGTAACGAATCGTTCGAGGAATGTGGCGTACTTACTTTTGCGTTTGTTGCCTGGAAAGTAAAACAATCAAATGTAACACAAAATAAGACAGGAATTTCATTGGGTCTTTCAGAATTAAATACTAAAAACATATTATGGCTTGGTGCATTCTCCGCCGGTTCCTGCCACCATCAGAAAATATCGTAAAAAACTAGCATATACAAATACCGTTTAATCACCGGTTTTGCTAGTGGGGCATAATTGTGGCTATTTCGGCTATAACGAAATTTTTTAAAGGTACATAATTATAATTTTAAAAGATGTTCATAAAACATTTAATTACTAGTTGATTAAAGTAAAAAGTATACCATTAATATTGCAAATTATATTTTTATCCTCTCATAGTATACAGGGTGCGTCTCAAAAGTGGCTCGCCCCTATAACTTTTTTATTTTTTCAGATAAAAAATTGAGATTTGGTATGTTGCATAAATTAGGATTGACGGAAATGACTACAACTTTTGATTTTTAAATGGTACTGTAATGAAGTTCATAAAATTTCTGGGCCACCCTGTATATTGTATTAATATTATACTAGAATAATAGAGACTTGATTCTCTTTTAATAATGACAGGCAGTGTATTTTATTGTTAACTCATTATTGTAATGAACTTCATTAGTGTTTCTAATGTTGAATTAAATAAGTTAAATATTTAATTGCCATTTTGTAAGAGAGTTTTGATCGGTTTTGGTCGCCGTGGTTCGGTGCGAGAAACCGAGACGTTTGCGCCGCTCTCCCTACCAGTGCAGGTTGAGTGGAGGGGAGCGTAGTCGAGTACCTCGGCCGCACCAGCACTAGAGAGTTAGTTAGTGGTCGCACGTGAACCAGTGAGGTTCGAGTCCGGAGTGCCCTGCCAAGTGCCAACCGCCTCCCGCCGTCGCTGCCAGCCGCCTGCCGCCGTACTGTATAAGGTAAGCACCCACCGTCAACGTGATCGAAAGTAGGTCGTATTCTTTTTTTTATTGTTAATACCGTTTACTTTACTGCCTTGACGCGTTACAGGGATAAGGGAGACAGAGATAGTTAGAACGCGCGATCGCAAAAGCTGGCAAAAACTTGTATTCGTTCAGGGCCAACCGTCCTCTAGCAAGTAGGGGAGCTGAACGGATCACGTGGACGCGAGGAACGATTTCTGTAGGAATAAAGGGAGACAGAGATAGTTAGAACGCGCGATCGCAAAAGCTGGCAAAAACTTGTATTCGTTCAGGGCCAACCGTCCTCTAGCAGGTAGGGGAGCTGAACGGATCACGTGGACGCGAGGAACGATTTCTGTAGGAATAAAGGGAGACAGAGATAGTTAGAACGCGCGATCGCAAAAGCTGGCAAAACTTGTATTCGTTCAGGGCCAACCGTCCTCTAGCAGGTAGGGTAGCTGAACGGATCACGTGGACGCGAGGAACGATTTCTTTTGTTAGGGGAAAGAAGGAGAGTGAGAGAGATAACGGGCAAGGTGGTACAGTAAACACACGGGTCGCGAAGGTTCACGGAGCTAACACAGGACTTCGCCCAAATCCCGAAGCTGGTTCTGTAGCCCGCGTATTTTTCTAGGTATGTCGTCCGGACGACACCCTGCATCAGTGACGCTGAACGGGATCTCGCCGAAATCCCGAGGTTGTCCTGACCGAGCGGTGTGTGTGCGGCCTGCGTTTCTCGAAACGACGTACAACTCGCCGAGACGTCGCTAATTTCATGATTCAGGGCTCGCGTGTGTGTATATCCCACAGGACGCTGTTAATTTCGCGATCTATCCGGGGCTCGCGTGTGTGATTATCCCACAGGACGCCGATTATTTTTGCGATCGATCCAGGACTCGCGTTTGTATATCCCTCGGGACGCTGTTAATTTCGCGATCTATCCGGGGCTCGCGTGTGTGTATATCCCACAGGACGCTGTTAATTTCGCGATCTATCCGGGGCTCGCGTGTGTGATTATCCCACAGGACGCCGATTATTTTTGCGATCGATCCAGGACTCGCGTTTCTATATCCCTCGGGACGCTGTTAATTTTGCGATCGATCCAGGACTCGCGTTTGTAAATCACGGGACGCTTTTAACGTCGACGCCGATCCGAGGTTCGTGTTACGTTGTCAAAACGGACGCCGTTCCAAGAAATGTTTAGCTGCGACCATCGGGACGCCCGAAACGACGTCGCCGCCGTTTAGAGAATCGCGTCATAGTAGAGTATGTTGCTCCGGTACTTACGTGTCCGTGTTCATTAGGACGCCACTAGATTCGACGTCGATTAGGAACTCGCATCGCTTTATTTTATAGAACGTCATTGCGTGAACGCGTTTTTAATTCACGGGATAGAACCAGTCAGAGAGTTGCATATCGGGAATAGTCGATCAAAACTCTAGAGGTACACGGTTGTTAGTGTAAATTTTGTTCTGCGAGGTACTAAATATTTACTTTATTTTTTATTATTGTAAACTTTACTTTACGGGTCATTAGATATACATTTTATTTCACCGTTGTTACGATTCAAGGACGGGAACCTTCCTGGATTATTGTTGTACATAATTAATTAGTTAAATAAAAGCCTAGTGTTACGTTATAGTTAATTGTGTGTTTTATTTTCTTTTCATCTCATCACTCCCTGGTATCTCCACTGTATAAAAGCTACCCGTGTACGTAGTGTTCTCTCAAACACTTTAAACATTGGGATGGCGCCCGAGGAACCGAACCAAGGCAACTCGACGTCAGTGAATTCTCTCTAAAAACGGAGGGGAGTCTCGGTTTTTTGTTGCTTTATTCGATAGAAAATACTCAGTTGACATATGATATGTCATTCTCTTCAGAGTATAATTTTCTATCGAATAAAGCAGCAAATAACCGAGGGTACCATTTAAAAATCAAAAGTTGTAGTCATTTCCGGCTAAACTTGTTTTCTGTCACAACAATTGAATACGTCAATCAATCCTAATTTATGTCATATAATCACATACCAAATCTCGTTTTTATATCTGAAAAAATAAAGTTAGAGGTGAGCCACTTTTGAGACGCACCCGGTATATCTATTTAATTTTTTGATTAGGTAACGAGCATTTTGTTTACTCACTTGTTTCGTCGAACTGCTGGAATCCATTTTTGCTATTGATCAAATCGGTGTGAGAAACTATAAAGCTATAAAATGTTGTTTGGGGAGAGTTGAATATCCGGCAAAGTTGAGTTATTGAATGTTATTGCATCTAACAACGCCTTAATTACGCTTTCCATTACGCGTTACCATTTTTTCGGCAGTTTTATTAACATTTAAAATTGTCACAACACAACATAACACGACGCTATTTCAAATTTGTCTTCACTTATTTACACCGCGTACCTGAGTGTTTTATAGTCTCAATAACTGCACTAGCAAAAGAACTAAAATACTTAAATATTATGTCAAAACCACGATTTCAATATTATTTTAATGCGATCAACATGACGGCAAGGAGGCGGGAACTGTATACTGATAATTTCTGATTTTTGCCGTTGAAGCGCTGCGGTCGGAATTTGTTGAAATCAACTGAAATGCACCAAGCCTATAGAGCGCCGTTCACAGAACATGTTAGTTACAGCGACACATCAAAAGAACCAATCAGATTTGTACAAAATTCAAACAGCTGTCAATTTTAAATTTAGTACAGCTCTCATTGGTTGTTTGAAACGTCAAACTGTGTCGCCAGTGACACGACGTCGTTCTGAGAACGGGGCTAAAGGTATGATTCCGAAGACGGCGACAGCGACAAGCGACCGCGACAGACGACAGCGACACCTGTCGTTACTGTGTTGCGACTCCACCGATTTTTTAGAATCAAATGGAGTAACATCGGAGACCGACGACAGGTGTCGCGCGACAGTTTTTATCCAACATGTCATCTAAGCGACCGACGACGCTACCGGTATTTGTCCAGTAGCTGTGTCCAGTACTGTCGTGTCGTCATTCATATGCACACGCAGATTTTTGACAAAAAATGGATTTTACCGGGGAGGAAGAAGACAAATTAATTAATTTAGTATGTAAATATCCTACTCTCTATGATACTAGTGTGGAGAATTATAAAAATAAAAATGGTAAAATGGGTTTTCTTCTTTTCTTTGCAACAAGTAACAATAATATTTCGTCCTCCTTCATCATCTTCCATCAGTAATTCAAGTAACACATTTTTATCAATCACATAATCAGACATATATTTATTAATTATTATAACTACCTCGCGAACGTCATTTAAACACTACTACATCGTAGATCTCGCTCATATTGTCGCCGACATCGACAATGATATGACGACAGCGATAAGCGACACTGTTGCCTGTCGTTGTCGTCTGTCGCTGTCGCCGTCTTCGGAATCATACCTTTAAAGCCCCGTTCTCAGAACAGCGACACATCAAAAGAACCAATCGATTTGACATTTCAAACAACCAATGGGAGCTGTACTAAATTTAAAATTGACAGCTGTTTCAATTTTGTACAAATCTCATTGGTCCTCTTGACGTGTCGCTGTTCTGAGAACGGGGCTTCAAACTGTGTAGCCAGCCACACGACGCAGTTCTGAGAACGGTGCTTAAAGCCTCGTTGAATTTTGTACAAATCTGATCGGTTCTTTTGTCGTGTCGCTGGCGACAGTCGCAGTTCTGAGAACGGGGCTTAAGACTACTGTTTAATATAAACTCAGTGGCATGAAAAACGGTCACTTTTAAAATGTCACGGTGAAATTTTTAATGAATATATTTGAAAGTTTAATATATTTTGTTCTAGTTGGCGGATTCTGAGGATTTTTAAGCAATTTGTAGCTAAATTATTTTTAGTATCTCTTTCTAAATTAAAAATGGTCGCGTTCATCAGGACGTAGCGCTACCGCAGCGATCAGTAATTTTCTGCTGAACGCGCCGATTAGTTGTGAGCGCTCTGGGATCAGTCGCCATTTTTTCCATCAGATTTAAAATACGCTACGCTACCGATGCATGATGGATTAAACGTCACATACGCCAAATGTCACAAAATGTTTTGGAAAACGAAAACAAAGCGTTTTGTTTATTGTTCGCGGTTGACTAATCCCCTCGATTTGTGCCAAAAATGGGTAAAAACAATTTAATATGCATTACTTATGATTTTGATCTAAAAAGCACGTTCAGCAGGACAACCAATCGATGGTACATCGCTCACTGATCAACTTATCCTGATGAACGCGACCATTGAAAGTTCCCAACTGTCAATTATACGAGGGAAAACAAAATATTGTTATTTTGGTGAAAGTTTGAAACACCCTGTGGAATATGTTAAGACAGCCAGGAATTTAAAAATCAATTTATAATCTAGGTACATCCTTTCTCAATAGTTTTTTTTTGAAGTATTAAAAGTAGGGTGTATACTCATTGAAAAATATTATAGATATACAGGGTGTCTCAGGTTCAGCTTAGCGTGCATTACAAGTTTCTAGAGAACTACAATATCTAGATCGGATGTTTTTGCACATCATTGTTTCAACATCTAGATCTATCGATTAAAAATATTTTCAATATGGCGGCACTTCCGGAAATACCGTAAGTTGACAGCAACTTCCTTATTTTAAATGGATATTGCCATTTCTTATTGCATACCTACTTAAATTCTCTATAAACTTTTATGTGTGTGTGTGTGAATTTTGTTATTACACACTCTATACTTAACAGTAACCGTTTTTAAGAAAAAAAAAAGATATTTAAAATTTTTGGAGGATAAAAACTACCTGTCAAAAAAATTTGTATAGCCTAAACAACAAATTTAGTGATTACGACAACCACTGGGATATAAAGAAAAAACATGTGGCTATCTGTTTCAAAAATTAATTTGTTTGAATGTCATATAATATTGGCCGTAGCTGTCATGGAATTGAGAGATTAAAAAATTATCATAATTCATTTTTTTCAAATGGAAACCCACTCTTTTTTTATCACTAGTGAAAAGGTTTTTCAATCCATAACTTTTTGATTAAGCATATTCCTATATCTAAAATAAATTGTTTTTAAGTTATTTAAGATTTAGTTTTAAAACGTATTTTTTTCTTGATTTTATCTAGCTTCCTTTGACATTAAGTGTCAACCATCAGACAATGTATTTCCTTCTGTCTCAAAAAAACTAATTATTTAAATTTCGTATATTACAAATACTGCCGCTAAAACTTTATATAAAGTGAATTTATAAAAATACATATTGTATTTTAGTGATATCTAATGGCAATATGACATGGCCAGATATAGTTTTACATCGCTTGACGTTTAAAGTTATAGGCTACTGAAATGCTACAGAAAAATATACGCTTTAAAACTAAATCTTAAATAACTTAAAAACGATTTATTTTAAGTATAGGTACTTAATATGTATAATCAAAAAGTAACGAATTAAAAAGCATTTCCAGTAGTGAAATAAAAAAGTAGTTTTTACTGAAAAGATTTGTTGTAAAAGATTGTTCAAAAAATTTTAAACTGTAGATCATTTAGTTTAAATGTAGTAAATTTTCATCCATTAATATTATGACATTTTTGCTTTTAGAGTATGTATAATAATAAAAAAAAATCTGTTAAATCCCCTTTATTTCAAAAACAAAAATTATAACTTGTAAAAAAATAGAAAGAGTATTCTATTCTGAAACACCCTGTATAGATACACTAAATGTTCTAAGCAGATATATTTTAGAGTTTACATACCTTCTTCGTTGGTTTAAGCTTAATTTTAAAAAAGTTATGTCTCGATTCATCCGGTTTCTCAATCACATAACTTTCAGTAGATTTCTTTATCTTCAGTTTATTTTTTTCATGAGCAACAGTAGGCTCACTATTACGACTAAGATTCTTTGGTACTTCGATTCTGACAAAGGCAACTTGATTATACAGCTTTCTGTCCGCTTTAAAGTTGCTCACATCAAACCTAGTTTTATTTAAAGGTTTTAAATGTTTTAACAGTCTCTTAATGTCTCTTGACGTTTTCACTTTAACTGGACGTTTTGAAATTTTCTTAGATTTGCTTTTTGCATTTGAAGTAGAGCTTGGAGGAGATTTAGATTTTGAGGGAGACCTACTGAGTTTGTCTTTAATTTTTTGATGGTCAGAAATATCAAGGTGAGGCTAAAATAATAAAAGCAATTGTTAGTATAAATGTGCTTGTTCTTCAGCTGTTTAAAAATTTAAAATTGATCTAATACTAAGAAGTGGGCCTATATACATACTTACGTATTTCTTTATTAAATTTAGTTTAATTCTATCTGTCAAATATAAATACTTAATGCAGTCGAGACAGACACTACATTTAGATATTTTTTTAACCAGTGTAATATTCCCCAAAATATTATCAAAATGGTCCCAGTGCGAAACAGCAACTAAATGTTCATCTCTTAAACATAGAGAACACTTCTCATTGTGTCCAAAAAATTCTTCGGTAATATTAGATTTTAATTTCGATAAAGTTACTATATCGTGCAGACAACTGGGGCATACTTTTAGACCAGAATTAAGTTCATCAAACTGAAAATTGTGTTTAATAATTTTCATTAAAAATACAGGTAAATGTCTAATGAAAAACCATACTTTAACAAGGTCTATCAGACCAAATAACACATCTTTAATTAATGAAGTGATTTCCTGGGCTTGAGGCGGACTCACTATCTTCGTGTTACTAACGCATAGAATACATATTCCACGGGATAACTCCATGTTTTAGTTCATTTACATGAAAGATATACTTTTGCGGAATATTTATATTAGGATACAATTACAATTCCATAAACCCGCGTAAAATTGACGACCGAATCAAAAAAAAACTGTAAACTCGACATTTGTTTTTTTGGGTTAGGTAGTGCGTTTCCTCTCTTTTAATTCAATGGAATGAGCAGATTATATTCAATGATCATATCCTTGGATCATATGTATGACCTCCGAGGGTTGTATAATATGCAGGTATGAATCTAATAACAACTGTTCCAATGCGTTAAATTATCGCTGCAGTCACGTGTGTTCTTACGTCATTGGAAAACCTTTTTAACTCATTGTTTTAACTGGATTTTTTTTATTTGAGGGATGTCTCGGGCTTAAAACCTAAGCTTAAAACCTATTTTTCTACTTGATTTTTCTATGGGTTTAAATCATAGGTTTAAATTAAAACATTTCTGATCTAAGACAATTTGTTTTTTCTGAGTTTATGAATGACAAACGAGCAATTATTGCCTCAAAAAAAGGTCATAAATATATTTAATATATAAACTGTTTACTTTTTATTTGATTAATACAATACATTTTGAAATAAAGACTTATAACAGTACATTTCAAAAAAGCCATTTTTTGCCAATTAACACACTACACATGATTCGTTCATCGTCCACTGTTTGAAGTTAATAAATTAATCAAAGCTGCCTTTTCCTTTTCTTTCTTCTTCACTACGTCTATGCATCTGTTTCTCCAAGAACTTTTACGTAGTTTGATTGGTCGGCTACCAACATATCGCCCTACAAAGATTATACCCTTAGAAAGTTATAAAAATTATGTTTAAAAGAACTTCTGGTTTCCAAACTTACCATTCATTTCTTTCATGGCTTTTGTGAAATCCGCTGGATCTTTAAAGCTTACAAATCCGTAACCTTTTGTCTTATTCGTTCTCTTATCTCTTATAACTTTTGCTCTTTGAAAAGATGGAAATTTATTAAATGTCCTTGTTAACAGTTCATCTGTGACATCGTTACCCAAATCACCACAAAATATCCTAAACAATAAGTTTTTTGTGTATATTGTCCAAAATAAATCAATCAAATTTTACCTAAAATCATCATCTGGCCAATCAGCTAAAGAACAATCTTCCCATGTTTGTCCGCCTGCTGTCCTAATTAATTTTCTATTTTTCGTACCTCTCCTTTTATAGTCTTCTGGACCAAATGATTGTAAAGCACTACTTGCCTTACCTATAAAAGAATAGTTTTTATTATAAGTTTAGCGAAAATACCTTCTTATCTAACTTATATCCATATTCTTTGTAGAAAGTGTCTTAGTCCATAAAATAGCACCAATAAAACACACCTATATCAAAAATACTTTAAAAGAACATTGAATTGAACTAAAAACGCATTAAACCTGATATTACCTTGTGAAATAGCAAGTTCGGCACTGACTTTTTCATTTTTAAGCTTCTTCAGTTTCTTTTCAACTTCTGACTGAAGTGCGAGAAAATCCACTGCTGCTTGTTGAGTTGGTGTAGGAGCACTGGGAGTTTGTGGAGCTGGCTTTGGAACTGTAGCTAAAAAATTAGAGATACAATGAAATGTAAAAATTACTTTTAATTGAAATAGAATATTACCATGATAAATAGTTGGCTTTGCTGAGACAACAGCGGGCTGACTTATAACAGATTGTCCGGTATACAACTTTTTACCCACTTGATGGGGAACTAACATAGGTGGTTGTGGCGGTGGAGGAATATTACCGAATCCTGGTATATACGTGGGGCCATACGCGCTCATAACGGATTGTCCGGCTATCTCTGCTTCGAATCTGAAATAGTTTAGATAGGTTTATAATGTACAGCACTAGTATTTTTTTCTATTCTACCTGCTCATTTCATCTTCCATTTGTCTAAATTTATCCATTATTTAATTTTATTTATTTAATGGATATACACAAAAATAACAGCAAACAGCTAAAAGCGAAAGAACAACTGAAAACTGAGGACGCTGAGAACTGACAACTGACTGAGAACAAGCTGAGAACAAATTTAATTTACAATCTTTACAATAGCCATACTTAACAATTAACAATTATTGTGATTGTGTCAAACAAGTGTCAAAGCCGAAACGTCATAGTAAGAACCGAGAGTAGATCAGTGATCATTGGGCGCATTCAACCAACATTCAACACACCGGTTACTCCACCGGTGCAGAAAATTAAAGTGAATGCCAATGGTAACTGGTAACTCACCGTTCACCGGTTGTGGTCACCGATCACTTGAGAGCCTACCGTATTTTGTTTCCGGCCTTGTTTACAAAATTAAGGGTTTCCGGTTTATTTACGTACCGGTAACTTATCGTTCAATTGAAAAGTTATCGGTAGGTCTTTACCGGTTTATACCGGTGTGTTTACTGAATGCGCCCATTGGTTGCTCTTCTCTCCGGTTTTATGGCGTTAATCTATCAGAGTATCAGAGCTAGATAATTTTTATATTTTTTGTAATAATAATTATCATAAATAACAGTAAATAAATTAAGTCTATATATTAGTAATTCTTTTATATAGCCCAAAAGCGCTATAGACGATCTAGTGCAATTGAAAAAATAGATTAAAAAATAATTTTTTCTTTTTATGACGCTGATCCCTGACAGACGCTTAGGTGAAGATTCATAAACACTTAGCCGTAGCGGCCGTAGCAGCTGAGGCCTTCTGGGACTGCAGCTCAAGTTTAAAAATAAAAAAGAAGAGGAAGCCATTTTCTTTTTCTTTCACCATCGTGGAATTGGCAGAAAACGGTAGGAAAATAATGATTTTTCGTAATTAAATATCTTATATTATTAGAGTTATTCAGTATAAAATAGACGTATTATTTTTAACAATTTAGATTAATAATTTTTTTAATTCTACATATTTGGATAGACTAAAAATAGCATCTATTTCAACATGTGAAAAATCTAACCTATAAAATGATTTAATATTGGTTTAATAGAATGCAATTTTCTTTTTCAGAAAATGACTAACTCAAAAGGTTATCGTCGTGGTACGAGGGACTTATTCTCCCGCAAATTTAAGAAGCGTGGAGTTATCCCTCTCTCCACATATATGAAAGTCTACAAAATTGGTGATATTGTAGACATTAAAGGAAACGGTGCAGTACAAAAGGGCATGCCCTACAAAGCTTACCATGGCAAGACTGGTCGTGTATTTAATGTAACAGCTCACGCCTTAGGTGTTATTGTAAACAAAAGGTGAGGTGTTTTTCTTAGTGCATAGAAACAATAAATATCTATAATGAAACAACACATCATTCACTATGAATGTATTGGGTGTAACACATTTTAGTTTTTCAATTTTCACTATTCTTTAAATGCAAGAATCATCATCGCTTGATTTTTGATCTGAATAATTATTAAGAAGTAATATTTTTTCTAGGGTTCGGGGTAAAATTATCCCCAAAAGAATCAACATCCGCATTGAGCATGTTAATCACTCAAAATGCAGACAGGACTTTTTAGAAAGAGTGAAACACAATGAAAAGCTAAGGAAAGAAGCTAAAGAAAAGAACGTTAAAGTCAACCTGAGGAGACAGCCTGCACAACCTAGAGGTGCACACATTGTAAGTGGAAAGGACGGTTCAATTGATTTGGCTCCTATTCCATACGAATTTATTGCCTAGGTTTTAATTTTTGACTTAATAAAAAGATAAAAAAATCAAATTATTCTTTAAATTTTACCTTATATCAATATTCTGTTGGAATATACAGGGTGTTCCTTAATGACATGCTAACATTTAAGGGGGCGATTCTTGGACAAATTCCAAGGAAAAAAAACTTATGTATACGTCCCAAACAACTTAATTTTTGAGATACAGGGTGGTAAAATTTTCTTGATAGCAGTTATTTGTCCAGGGTGTCCATTTCTAGACTGAAAAAAATTATGGCGTTATTGGTCATGTTATATGAACATGGGGTCTAAAGTACTTCCTTTCTGATTTACAGGGTGTTAAAAATTTAAGAAAATTGAATTTTTCTACTTAAAAAAATGGCAAGCCACTGCTTTTTAGAAAACAATTTTTTTTTTGATTGTCATTATTGTCAGTACTTTTTAACAAAATTGATCTTTTCTGTTTTTCACGTACGTCGAACGATTTTCAAGAAAAAATAAATAAATCAACTACATTGCATAACAAGGCATTCAGTATGAATATATTATATCAGAACGAACTTTTGGTTGATTTTTTTTCTCGAAAACCATACGATATACAACGAAAACTGAAGAGGTAGACACAAGATTAATGTTTAAAATGGATGGGTCATAAAAAAAATTATCATCTCTTAATTTTCTTCCAACTTACGCAGAAACGATTTCTACTAATTTTTAACTCTATGATTTCTACACAAGACATCACATCATATTTTTAGTGATTTCACCTGGATGTAAGACGAATGAAATTATTTTTTTAATTAAACCATGCGTCGGATGAATGAAAATGAAGAGATGAAAATTATTCAGAAATGAATGAAGATTTTGAAGAATTTTGTTTTTTATTTTGCTAGGAGTCAGTGGCGTACCATTTTATTCTCCAATTTTTTTTAATATATAAAACTCGTATGAACACCACTGGTTGAAATAAATATAATTTATGAAGGGCATACTGCATACCTGTAAAATAAAATTACCATATACAACTATCACTGGCAGGGATCCATTTGTTTACAAGATTATATTTCTAATAAAACTACATTTTATTAAGTGGTATTTTATTGTAAATAAACTTAATAAGAATGACTTAAAATATAATATAAACACAAACCTTTTTTTACAATTAAATTAAATCTATTGTTTAGGAAAAGTAATTTTTTCTATAATACTTGTTCTTAAGGGCATATGTGGTGATAGTAAATTTGGATCACCAAACATGGTAAGTGGTAATTTAACCTCCTGCACACCGCATTCCTTATTTGTAAACTCTCGAATTACAAAATCTTTTGTAAAATCGTGAAATATCCTCGTATCATTCACTCTAACCATAACACCGTCTACTCTTAAGAAGAAACGAAGTAAAATGAAAAACGAACTAGGCATTACTCTCTAAAACATTAACAGAAATTTAGTATGTATACATTTATGTACACAAAGTTACTTACAATTTTTATAGTACATGATGATATGCCATTATCATGTAACTCATCTTCATATAGCATCATTTCATGATAAAATAAGATTTTCTCTTTCTGCTTTAACATTTCCATATCTATTTTTTCATCTGTAGGTTCTATTATGGCGTCCTCTGATATGGTACCAGTATAATCTGTACTAAATGTCCAATCAAATGGTTTTAGTTTCTGTTCCAGATGTTCGGCAGACCTAAATGAAGATTATTTAATTTTAAATTTTAATCCACAAAGTATGAACATACCTTGTACTTTGCCATTCTACCGAGCAAGCAACTTGAACTGGTAGTTTTCCGTTACACACCTTTTTTAAAGCATCTAAAGTATTAAATTCGATTTTTCCTCCGCTGGGGTGTACAACTGTTAAAACATTTCTTGGAAAAACCATTTCCGGTAAATGAGGAAGTGCTAAACAATTTGTATATCTAAAAGTTGAATGAAATTGTTACGTTTTAAAATACCAAAACAACTGGTACGTACAAGCACAGTAAGCATTGCTTCTCTGGCTCATTTTTGCATTGGTCCGAAGTAGTGCATAAAGAATGTAAAATGTGGGATTTGGTGTATTTAAAAACCCATCCATTGCAATCGAACTGTTCTGCATCGGTAGGTAATCTCTGCACGTCTATTTCACCTTTCGTATTATTTATGGACATTATATTATCATTAATTTATTCATATATAAGGGAAATTCAACCACAATTCAACTAACGATGTTATTGATGTTTATTTTGAACTTTTGACGTTTTGTCAATAGGACATAACCATGTTCTTCTTCTTGCTCTCTGTTCAAGCTCCACATGGCATATAGAAATTTTTTTGCTCTATAGATTATGCTAAATGATTTCAAGGGATGGGTATGTCCCAAGGACTGTATATATTCTAAAGGACTGTTCGATCGCGTCAAATCGCCGCTGTCGTAGTCGCCGTGGAATGCTACGTCACGCGCTGACCAGCGCTCCACAGTGCGGCGGATGGTTATTCTAGCGGGACAAAATCTCAAGAGCAATGTTTGGGACTTAAAATCTAAGAACGTAGCAAATGGTCTAATATATAGCAACTATATGGTTAAATTTATTTATTTATGAACAACTTAATTAATTAATAAATAAATACAAGATAATAAAACTATGATATTATTCGTACATGACACACAAAAACCGTATTGTAAACTATTGCCAAATACATAAAATTATGATATCAAAAAACTCTAAACACTGACTTTTTTTTTAATTAATTTGTAATCTTGTGACACCCTCTATAATTTATTTTAAAAAATATATTTTATTTTGAAAATAATAAATAAGATAGATATTTTAATTTTAAAACTCGGTAATTGTAAATTCATATATAGTAAGTATCTAAAACAATTTTTTAAACTCATGGGCATTCATCTGTTAAGCTTGAACTCCCTGTGACTGTGACTACCTGTGTTGGTAACTATTGGTAACTCAAAAGATCTACATCATTCAATATATCGATATTTGAAAAAAAGTGAAAGTTTGATATCTGCAGAACAAAGGCACAAAGGATTTTAACAAATAATATACGTACAATAGAAAAGTGCATACCTTTGGCAATCTTCAACATAATTTGGCTTTCTAATAAAATGTATAAGCACTTGTAAATATTTTGTTTTCGTATGATCTTTGCCTTGCTGAGCAGAAAACGACCAAATTTCACGTCCATTTTTGTATCAATTGGAATGTCTACTATTTATTCTTATCAGTACACATTTTTTGGCTTATTTCTAACCAAACGCTTTTGTCCCGCTAAATTTATCTTCCAACGCACTGTGCGCTCGTCCGTCAAATGATAGTCAAATGCAAAAATAACTGTCACTGTCTAAAATCTTTTGCGCCAACTTCAACTCGGTCAGTAGATGACGTAAAAAAAGTGACAGTGCAGGAAGATAGAAATCGAACTATCCTTATCTCTATAGTATCCTTGGGTATGTCCGTCCTATTTTTACTTTTTGTTAGAAATTTCTCTGTTTCCGCATAAATTTTCTATTTCTACAAAAAAAACCTTGTCTACAAAACTGGGTAAAACTGTATCGTGCTGTTGTCCGTGGCTGTTGTCAAAAATAAGGCAAAAGTGTAAAATCTATGAGCAGTGTGTCAATTTGACACACACTGCTCATTCACGCCGGTTCGAGGCCGAATCAGATCGGATACCTCGTGAGTCGAAGACACTTGCCAAGTCGGTAGGCCATGATATGGCCGAGGACCGCGGTTCGGATTCCGCGTAAACAAAGTAGGCCCCGTCCAGATTAGCCCTGGCAGCAAAAAGGAGAAGTTAACTGAATTTTTTTTTTGTCTACAAAATAACCAAATACCAAATAAAAAATGATTTTTTAACGGATATTTTGAATGTTGAAGAATTTTTACTAATCCGGTGATTTTCAGAAAAAAAGTAAGAAACCAACAGATTAAATATTTTTCTTTATATAGGATTATTCCAGAGGATTATCCGAAAAAGCTATAACGATTCAAGTCCAAATATCCTGTTTAAGGATTTAACTCCTAATCTTTTTTATTGAATATTTTGGAAATAGTAGTGCGCTTTTTGGAAATATTCGCGTAGTTATAGGTATATTTTGCAATTTAAGCATCTTATCTACAGTATGTCCCCGAATTGTCTTTACAAGAGAAAAAAACTTTTTTATTATTAACATTTTGAGAAAATTGCATTCTTCATAAAAAATTTTCTTGTTCTAAAATGGTTCATCCCGTTCATACTTCAATATACCTATATGTATATTCAAATTTTCATACCGTTCTAGAGAAAATTAAAAAAAAAACATGAAAATATATACTTATGGTTGAAGTTTTCCTAAGTTTTTTAAGAAGTGTCCTAAAAATCAAATCGCGTTTCTATATGATAATATAATTTCGTTTTCATTCTTTGGCAAATTGTTAATTGTTATTGATAGAAATAGAGGAAATAGAGGATTTTAATTAAAATATTTTTCTATCAATAACAATTAACAATAATAATATTCTTTGGTTTGGTTAGGCAAACATTTTTGCTATTAATTATTAAAAAATGGTGATAAAGAACTTTTGGCACAAAAACATTTCAAATTTATGATTTCAGTCTAATAACTATTTAGTCAATATCATGCGTTTAATTTACCTCAATGATGATTATTGGTAGCTATTTTTATCAAGAGATCTTTTATACGTAAAAACTGTCGTAAATGTATATTCTTTTACTCAGTAATTTTATACAGGTATGGATAAAAAGTTATTACTCTTCAAACAAGTAAAAAATATGTAGGTGACGCCCTTCTACAAGTAGGAGTCGTATTATGGTCGTATTGACATCAAAATCAAATTTATCATGTCAAAAATCTCACAGATACCAATTTTCATCTAAATATTGACGTTACTTCATAAATTATTTGAAAAAAATCGAAATAAAAATGAAAGTTCTACACTCTGTATCTCGGAAACTAAGCATTTTAGGACATACATTTATAAGAACTTTTTTACTTGCTATCTGCGGAATATACTGCCGAAGTTTCCGGAATATAGTTCGGACCACCCTGTATGTAAAACGAAACACCCTGTATTTTGATATAAAGACTCTATTTGTCAGATATCAAATAAATTAGTGTCAATCAAAGGTGTCAATTAAAAGGAAATACATATTCTAAATATATAAAAGTCCTATAATAGAAAGAAACCATGAATGAACGAAAATCTTCAGAGATTTTTGAAGAGAATCTGTTAAAAAGAGAAAGGCAACGAAAACAGCTTACAAAAAGAGAGATAGAAAGAATGCGGGCCGAATTGCCTAAGTATAGCCTAAATGAAATTCGTCAGTAAGTGTTTCCTCTTATATTTAATTTTTGATTAAAATCACAAAATATCTCCCTTTAGAACTTCCCCTGTCATGTTAAGAAATGAAAGTAAATAATAAAGCGCCTCTCGTGTTCTTTTTGTTTTTCAAATAGATAATATAAAATATCTAATTATAACTTGTGAATTTTAATATTTTAACATAATTTTAACTATTTCTGACAATAACTAACATTTTGTTACCAAGATGACATTTTAGACGGTAACTGACATACAGGTTGTTAAATGGATAGTTACTTATAGGGGAACAGAATGGCAACCCACTAAGCAAAAAATCTCACATTACATTTGCAACATTGCAGTCAATCCCCAAACAGTTTGTTTTGTAATGTTGATTTCTAAACGTTGTGTCGTGCTTGATGAAACCTTGCTACAGAAACATTGTTTTTGAATGGTGATTAAAACGTTTTATCTGCAACATTGCAACAAAGATTCAAATGAAAGATCCGTGCAAGTTAATATTAATTAATAATATAACAAATATATCATAAGATCGAAAAAAACGGCGTCTAGTTGGCTTGGAAATGAATATCGATGACATTCCCCATATAAAATGACAGCGATTTTCTTTTCATAGCCATCGCTGACGTCTTTTTTTTTCGATCATACGGTATAAGTTAGGTTAGGTTAACGCACTTGTTTTTTACGTTTTTGGTATCACATTTTATGCTTTTCGGATGAGATTTTAATGAATGTAGATGTAAGTATAATTTTATTATTATGTGTGTTTTAATAATACTTAGCCATGAATAAGTATACCAAATTTTGTTTAGTTTAGTTTGTTTTTAAGCTGTATTTTATGTTTTAGGTTAGCTTTTAGCCAACTGAAAATTAAAGTAGATAAAATCAGGATACGAGTATATCAATCTTATGATAAAATCACAAATAATATTCAGTATTAATTATTCTCAATAATATTTTTTTAATGATGTTATAGTCATTTGAAATTTTTAAAATAAGGACATAAAGGGGCCTCAAAGATTACTGTCACAAGAGGTAAGTTTCTCATTGCTTTATTTATTACAACTGATTGTTTTGATTTTTACTACTTTAGAAATTGATTGGATATAGATTTCAAAACTTTACCGAAGAGGAATTTGAAACCATGAATAAGACAATTCAACATGCGAAAACAATTAAACTATAAGTTTGCTTTTCCTTCTACATACATACATTATGTTATACTTTCCTTTTGTATTTTTGAGTAAGAAATATAAAATAATGTTTATACCGTACCTATATATTTTGTATTATTTCAGACATTCAACTTTAAGATTTTTTTTAGAAATTCGTTGCAATACCGACGACGGCCTAAAAACCCGAAAAACCAAATTTCTTCAAACGATGGCCGCGAAAGCCTAAACTACTACATTGCACTGCAATGTTATTTGGCGGAAGATTAAGCTACCCTGAAACTTTGCATAAACCTCTCTACAATAAAAAAAGCAATGTCCAACCTTGCTTTGCGAAGTTTTGGCAATGTTCCAGCAATAAATTTTGCTTGTTGGGAACACTGTCTATTGAGAACGCATGCACTTATAGGGTTTTCTGGCGACTCGTCCCGTCGCGTCGCGTCGTCTATCGACGAGCGGGCCGAGGTTGCCATATTTCAACCATAAAGCTCTTGCCGCGAGTAATAATCAAATTAACAACCTGTATATCATATATGTCATAATATTTTAATTTTAAATATGTATGTAATACATAGATGTAATATAATTTAAATTAATATAATGCAACTTTATACTAAGAAAACATTTATATAAATACAGTAAAGCCTAATAATATAGTTTGAAAACAATGAAAATTGAATTAAAATTAAGAAAGTTAAGCGCGACCTCTTGTGTTAAAATTAGATGATTAAATTTTCACAATTTGTACACCATTCGATGACCAGTGGGGCCTCTAGTGTTTGTTCGGGCGGTTAATCTTTTACTCCCGTTTATGGCCATTAAAGAAAAAGCTATAATGGGGGATGTTTTGTGATATAAAATTTAAAATATTACAAAAACCTTTAAATCCAGATACTTACACATGGTGTTTCAAAAAACATATGCCATCTCTCGTGGGGAGATTCCTCACGTAAAAATAAGATTTATTTTTCATATTAACATCGGCCCGATTCTGCTTTATTTCGTAGCTATATATAGGGTGTTAAAGTCTTAATAATCTTTTGATTTATTATAATTTTTTTCCAAGTACTTTCAGTGATTCGAATGTAATTTTGAGGGTATGCTAAAAAACGGTCGATAAATTCATCAGGGACGTGCAAACCAAACCAAACCAAATCACTGGAATATTTTTCAAAAAAAAATCATGTGCGCTACTGACTTTTTTCTTTTGATATCAAAATTGTGTAGGCCGTTTAATGCCAATTAAAAGTTATCTCTTGATATTTTGTCGAATTCGGCCTCCTTGATGGGATAAACAATTTTATTCCATACCCATGTTTATAGTAACTTTTTTTCATATCTTTTGATGAGGAATCAATGAGTGCTTATTTAAAACTTTCGCAAGTTAATGATATTAAAATTGTTTAAGGGTTGCTATTAGACTTGGATCAAGGCAAATTAATGAAACTGCGTTTATCTCATCAAGGAGGCCGAAATCGACAAAATACCAAGAGACAACTTTTAATCGGCATTAAACTGCTTACACTATTTCGCTAACAAGAGAAAAAAAGTCAGTGGTGTACATGCTTTTTTTAGAAAAAATATTCTAGTTATAACCCATATGCCCGCCCCTGGTGAATATGTCGACACTTTTTTAACTTTAAAATATGTCGCATTTATAGTAACTTTTACCCTCAGGGTGCTCAACATCATGCTAGAAAAAGCGGAACGGCGTATCGGCGTATCGACCTTGAATTCATCTGTCAAAAATTTCAGCCAATAGAATTACTGGAAATCTATTCAAGGCCAATACGCCGATACGCCGCTTCCGTTTTTTCTAGGATGGTATGGATGCATCCTCAAAATTTCATTCGAAACGTTTCTCTCTTCCAATCCTTTTTATTGCTCCATACTACAGTTAGGTGTTTCTCAGAGTTGCACATTCTTAATTAACATACAGGGTGGCGATGGCGCCTTTCATACGCCGAGGAAGTTCCAAGGAGAACGGTAGTTTATGTCGAAATTCAATTTTAGCAGCGTATGTATGTTAACTGGAAGCATTTTATAAAAATATATAGAATTATACAGGGTGCCCAAAAAAAGTTACACATTAAAGTTGTGTTTTTTCTAACGGAACACCCTATGTATTAATTGATTTTCGGATTCTAGAAAAAAAAAATAAAGGTGAGTTTTAATAAAGAAGCTTATGCCTAAAATCTAAGGATTTTGACATATTTCACATTATGTGAAAATGAAGAGTAAATTTTAAATTTCGATAACAGCTGTCTAAATTTTAGTTGACCTTGTATAGCCTGTTATTTAGTTACAGTAACCATTGTATGTTAAACCAAATTGAAATTTGACACGAAAAAAGTTATACAGGGTAGACAAAATTAATATGGAAAATTAGTCACTTTTAATAGCAAGTTACTCCTTTATTTTAAATGGAACATCCAGTATATTATTCCGGTGTTCAATGGGGAATTTATATGTCTTCAAAATATTATTAAGGTTGCCTACCCCTCAGACCAAGATTTTCCTAGATATTTTAATTTTTATGATTTTGCGTCAGTAGATCTTTATTATCTGAAAAAATCTAGGGTGGCTGTGTGATATATATTATATTTTCATTTTAAAAGGCATATGTGGAGTTCTACCTCTAAAAGCAGCTACAATAATTTCTCTCATGTTGTCGACAATAGTTGGTCGAATTTTGTAAACACTGTCTTTAACATATCTCCATAAAAAAACATACTAGATAAAATCAGAAGCATTTCCATTCACCAACTAACGGTATCATATCAATTCTCTCTGATGTAGGATATGTTTGCATTTTCGGGGCAAATTTCTGAGATTTTTTTTTGTTTTAACTGACACTAAATGATAACTGGTTGTTAAAGTTGGACTAATTAGACAGCTATGTTAAAGTGACGTCAAACATATCACAGCCATCTAGATTTTATCAAATAATAAAGATCTACTCAGATCAAATCAGGTAAATGAAAATATCTAGGAAAATCTTCGTTTGAGGGGTAGGCAACCTTATTAGTGTTTTTTAAAGGTGCTTTTAAAGGTGAAATGTTCAATATTAATTTTATCTCACCCTGTATAACTTTTTGGATCAAGTTTTAATTTGATTTAACGTACAATAGTTAATTTAACTACATATTAGGCTATACCGGGTAAATCTCAATTTAGGTAGCTTTTATTGTAATTTAAAAATTGTTCTTTATTTCTAGAAAATGTTAAATATGTCAAAAACCTTACATTTTAGTAATATTATTCTCTCATAAAACTGACCTCTATTTTTCTTCCAGAATCAGAAAATCAATTAATATATAGGATGTTCCGTTACAAAAAACACAACTTTGATATGTACCTAACTTTTTTTGGAGACACCCTGTAGAACTCTCTATATTTTTAAAAAGTGCTCTGAATTAACCTACATATGCTCACAAAATTTCATTTCAATACCAACTGTCGTTCTCCTTGGAGCCTCCGCGGCATATGAGAGGCGCCACCCTGTATTTATTAATTAATTTCCAATTTTTTTTAAGGTACAAACTGCCATATTACGAAGCTCTCTTGCTGCAGTTGCACGAAAGCGGTCACTTGGGCACAGAGGCGTACATCCAAAGTATTTTCGACGTTCAAAATAAGTTACGGGAGGAGGCTGGATATCAGAGTAACATATGGCAACAGCCCATCTTAAAGTTCAGCGAGAAAGAGTTGCGCAAACTGAGCGATGCCCTTGTAAAGAGCGAAGATGAACATAATATAGGTAGGATCACAGATCACATAGAATGTTACCTGTGATAATAGTTTAGTCCTCAAATTTCTCATAAATTCAGATGATACATTTGCTGATAATGTTAACTTGACTAGCAAGACGTCCATACATAATTTAAAATAAAGCTATACTGAGTGCCAAAAAAGCAGAACACTTGTATACAGGGTCCGGCAATAGTGCGTCGAGCATCTGTAGCTCCTAGAATAAAATAACTTGTTTAAGTGTAAATCTAAAGTATTGTTACGTTTTTCGTCGGTTCCGTGTGGATAGAAAGTCACAATTTATTTAAACACAATTTATTTAACACTAATTAACAAAAACAATAACGATAAAAGACTTCAAGAACTATTTACAAACGATTTATAACTATTTATCTAGAAAGAATTTATTTTGAATTTTAGCGCGTCAACTGTACTCGTCTATTTATTTCTGTCCTCCTCAGGCCCCAGCCGTCGGATTTTATACCCACAGCTAAAAAGTTTCTCGAATAATCCATAGATCATTAGGTGCATAGAGAAGGTTTCGAATGTTCTCGTATGTACTACTCCATTCCAGTGGAACTCGATTCTTCTCGAACGTTCGAATGAATAATTACGGTATCTATTCTTTAATGCGATGTTAAGATTAGTGATGGGAAAAACCGATTAATTTCAATAATCGAGTACTCGAGTATCAAGCGATTGCAATAACCGAGTGATCACTCGAGCGAAATATCGCTCGTATTTAAAAATACGGTTTTTTGTCCGTCTCATGTTGTAAGTACTCGTTAACGCCAAGCGCCAAGCAGTAAGCTGCGCGCGCAGGGCACATATTCTTTCGGTAATGAACGGCAAGTAGTAAGCGGCGAGCGATTCGCTTGATCGCCTGATTTAGTTTATTTCGAAGCATTGTCGATGTAGGTCGTAAAATTTTGTCCCTCAGATACACAAGGGATAAGTATACCGGGTGCGTCTCAAAAGTGGCTCACCCCTATAACTTTTTTATTTTTTTTAGACAAAAAACTAGATTTGGTATGTCAGTATATGAAATAAATTTGGATTGATTGACGTATTCAATTGTTATTGGTCACTTCCTGTTTCACCGGAAATGACTACAACTTTTGATTTTTAAATGGCACCCATTTTATTTTTTCAGATAAAACAACGAGATTTGGTATGTTATAGTATATGACATAAATTGGGATTGATTGATATATTCGATTGTTTTTCAATTTCTGCAACTTTTGATTTTTAAATCGCACCCTCGGTACTTTTTTACTTTATTCGGTAGAAAATGACACTCTGAAGAAAGAATGATATATCACATGTCAACATTTGACATTTTCGCATATGGTTTATTTGAAATTGTAACATGCGGTTCATAACGACAATTTGACTGGAAGTACCAAGTGTGTGGTATCAAATTATTCGTAAAAAAATTCTTCTTCGAAATATGCTAATGAGCCACGCTCGTTCCATTTGAAAAAAATTGAGATATGATCAAAAATACGATTTGAGCATCTTTTAACCGACCACGGCAAGACACTAAAAACATTAGACGATCAAATCTATTTTTCCAAGCAGGCTCCTTGATTAAAAATTAGTGTTTTTAACACAGCCATGGCACTCTAGATTGAAATTTAAAATACAATTTGTTTTTAAGCGAATATGTCAAAAGTTGACATATGATACGTCATTCTATTTAGAATGTCATTTTTTATCGAATAAAGTAAAAAAAAAATACCGAGGATACCATATAAAATCAAAAATTGTAGTCATTTCCGGTGAAACAGGAAGTGACAGAAAACAATTGAATACGTCAATCAATCCTAATTTATGTCATATACTAACACACCAAATCTCATTTTTTTATCTAAAAAAATAAAAAAGTAATAGGGGTGAGCCACGTTTGACACGCACCCGGTATATACGGCGTCGTATAAATTTTCCACCTGCAATGTATGTAGAAAATTCGCTCGGCTTTTTATCGAGTATGTCACATTAAAATCGGATTTCAATTTATTTCATTCTAAGATCGCTTGCGTTCGTCGCTTGGTACTCGTCACTTGCATCGCTCGTTCATAATCGAGCGATGACGGTTATTTCAATAATCGAGTACTCGAGCAAAAATTCGCTCGAGTACTCCCATAACTAGTTAAGATCATCTGAGGGCGGGACATATAGTTAGGTTAGGTCATGGTTAGGTCGAGTCGAAACGGGTCCGCAACAGTATGTACGAGGATGTATTTCAGGAAAATATTTTTACTTCTATAGGGTGGCTCAAAAAAGTGGGAGTGGATCGTGATGAGTTTTTTTAAATGGAACACCCTGTATATTATTGCATTTTTGGCTTCCTTTCAGATCACTTTACATAATCCTAAGACGTGAGTAAATATATTTTGATAGTTTCAAAGATATTAATAAATAAATAAAAATTATAAAATTTTCAGCCTTTCTTAAAAAAATTATTAATAATTCAAGAACTGTCCTGAAATCAAAAGTATATTAGGTATTTACTTTAGATGGTCTGTACTTACTCTGCTATAATTATGGTAATCGTAAATCATATATGATGTTCAAAATTCTAAGCCAAACTTTCTAAAATATAAAATAATTTTTCTTTGTTTTTTTTAAGTATATTACTTTTTCAAGAGATGGAGAATTAAAAAACGAACATTTTATGTATTTGGACTATTTCAAAATTTTTAACGGTTTTGCAGATATTCGCGGTTTTATATTTCATATGGCATGTTCCACAGTAATTTTTACCAAAGGCCGCCCAATGATTTTTCTCTCGTATTTTATCATTGAATGCGGCATATGAAATAATACTGCGTGTATCTGCAAAACTATTAAAAATTTTCAAATACTTTAAATACAAAAAATTTTCATTTTTTAACTCTCCATATAATAAAAAAATAATATACAGAACATAATATACCATTTAAAAAAACAAAGAACAAATATTTTATATTTCACAAAGTTTGGTTTGGAAGGGTTGAAAAATATATATTTTTGATTTATTTTTTAATATTTCTGAAACTATCGAAATATAGTTACTCATATTTAGGATTATGTACAGTGATCAGAAAGGAAGCCAAAAATACAGTAATATACAGGGTGTTCCATTTAAAGAAAATCACATCCAGATCCACTCACACTTTTTTAATCCACCCTATAGAAGTTAAAATATTTTCCTGAAATACACCCTGGTACATACTTTAGGTTTGCACTTAAACAAAATTTCCAAATTTTTTATTCTAGGAGCTACAACTGCCCGACGCGACGCACTATTGAAGGACCCTGTATGTTTATCAATATGAGAATTCAATATTTTTTTGCTGGCTGCCTTAGAATGTATAGTCTGTCCAACGACAAGATCCTTGACAGTGATAGATGTGTCTGTCATTTTAATTTCAAAGTAGTTTATTTTATTTTACAAAGAAATAAGTTGGTACAACTGGAACGCATAGCAGGAAATTAATATATTTAAAATTTGACTGATAAGTGATTACTTCAAAATATTGTAAAAAAACTTGTAAGTGAGTTATTTTATTAAAAAAAAACGGTATGTGTTAATACAAAACAAGCAAGAACAAAACATACCAAAAAAATATAAAAAAGAACTATGTATCTCTTACTTTCAAGCTTCAAGAAACTTCCCGCATTTATTATTACAGTTCGTCTGCTGGATCTGTGTCTATGAAAGGAATGGGGACAAAAAATATTTAAATAAACAACAATATATTTTATACGTCGACTTGACGAGTACGTCATCGCAAATCGCTCCGCCTACTCATTTTATTGGCTACTTGCAAATTTGTCGAATTTTTATTGATGGGACGCGTCGTCCAATTTTTTACGAAAAACATGGAGAGAATATCGTTTCCCCTCTCACGGATACCCCGTAGCTACAGAACGGACAGACGTACTGTATATTTATCAATATAACTTATGTACAAATACAAATTTGTAATATTCCACAGGAATCAATAAAACAACATCAATAAAACAAACTATTTTATTAATAATAACACTTACCAAATTTTATACCTTAAAGGTTGATTAATTAACTTTAATCTTATTTTTTTTTAACCAGTACGTTTTGACATTGTTTTTCTGCAGTACTAAAATCCATTATTTACCTATCGTGTGCGATATTTTACAGTTAATCCAGTTTTTAGTATATGTTTAGTACGATTCTTGCACCATATACGAGATTCACTTATCTACGACGAGATGGTATACAAACTCTATTGATGGTAACTTTATTGGTGTATAAGACTTTTTGCCTGGGCAGCAAGTATTAACTATAAACTGTGCTTCTGGGACTACAGCTAATTTTCCTTCGATTTTTCCTCCACTTGACTTCAAAAGACACAAAACACACATAATAACACGAATAAAAATGCATCATCTTCCAAAACGCAGATATTTGACAAAAAAATTGACACTAAATTATAACCAATAATTTGGCAAGACTTTGACAAGCCTCAAATATCTAAAGGCGAGTTCATACGCATCGGCGTCCGTTTGTCGTTTATCTTTCCGTCAAACCAATAAAATTGAAATAAGATCTGTCATTTTTGAAATAAACCAATTAAACTTGGTTAAAAACAAGAGACGACGCATGACGGATTTATATTTAAACCCATCCATAGTTAACTTAAAAAATATTAGAGACTTTTTTTAGTAAAATAAATAGACTTAGATAAATAGAATGGTATGGGACATCATCTGCTTTTCTTCTGTCATCGTCTGTCGAAATCTTACCTGAGAAAAAAAAACAGAGTATAGTTAAAGTGGGCAACGCTGTGCCGGTCAAGCTTAAACACGTGACTAAGAGTTTATTTGATATGAACTATAGGTAGTGTTATTTTACTAATAAGATTAGTTTTATTAGGTAATTATAGAAAAGAAACAGAGATTTTACTAAGTACTGGCATCGAGTTCTCTTTTTATATGCAAGATTGGTTATGGCTTGGAAAACTACTTCTTCAGAAAGCGATCGATAACGCCAAGACCAATCAAACGACTGGAAAACATGAAGCGTTGGTTAGATTTGTTTTTTCAAAATTGTTAATTGAGAAAGGTAAATTTTCCCATTTTGTAAAATGCGTGTACGAAAAAAATCTTAGAGAAATAGGTAAAACTAGAGATGTTCTAAAGTAGTGATGGGAAAAATCGATTAAATTCAATAATCGAGTATTCAAGCGATTGCAATAATCGAGCGAAATATCGCTCGTATTTAAAAATACGGTTTTTCGACCGTCGCTTGTTGTAAGTACTCGTTAACGTCAAGCGCCACGCAATAAGTTGCGTGCGAAGAGCACATATTCTTTCGGTGATGAATGGCAAGTAGCAAGCGACGAGCGATTCGCTTGATCGCTTGATTTAGTTTATTTCAAAGCATTGTCGATGTAGGTCGTAAAATTTTGTCCCTCAGATACGCAACGGATAACGTCGTATAAATTTGCTACCTGCAATGTATGTAGAAAATTCGCTGGGCTTTTTATCGAGTATGTAACATTAAAATCGGATTTCAATTTATTTCATTTTAGGATTGCTTCCGTTCGTCGCTCGTAACTCACCACTTGCATCGCCGAGCGATGTCGGTTATTTCAATAATCGAGTACTCGAGCGAATTTTCGCTTGTGTTATCCCATCACTATTCTAAAGTACTAATAGCAATTCGTTTTTGTTTATAAAATAATAATAAATAAATAATTTTATCAATTTACAAGACGCTATAGCTGCTGAGCAATAATTACAGTTTGTCACCCCCTATGAATTTAGTCTAATAAGTTAATGCCTATACATATACAGGGTGGTCCGAACTGTATTCCGGAAATTTCGGCAGCATATTCTGCAGATAAAAATAAATAAAAAAGTTCTTATAAATGTATGTTCTATAATGCTTACTTTCGGAGATACAGGGTGTAGAAGTTCCACTTTTATTTCGAGTTTTTCCAAATAATTTCTGAAGTAAAGTCAATATTTGGATGAAAATTAGTGTCTGGGAGATTTTTTGACATAAGAAATTTGATTTTGATGTCAATATTACTCCTAGTTGTAGAGGGCGTCACCTACATATTTTTTAACCGGTTTGAAGAGAATAACTTTTCGTCCGTATCTACATAAAACTACTGAGTAAAAAAATATATATTTACGACGTTTTTTACGCAAAAAAAGGTCTCTTGGTAAAAATCGCTACGTGTAATGATTCTCGAGATATTTAGAATCGAAATTATCAATACCTGTCATCATTGACATAAATTAAACATGTTGACTAGAGTTAAAACTGAAATTATAAATTTGAAATGTTTTGTGTCAAAAGCATAACAGAAACTGTTTTATCATCATTCTTTCGAAGAAAAATTTATGATTAATTTATCATAATACATACTCATCATGTTTATTTTTTGTTAATAATGAGCTGAATTGACTACTTCCATTCTAAATATCTTGAGGACGGTTGCTCGTAACGATTTTTACATTTTTTCGTTACATTTTTTACGTAAAAAATCAGGGAAATGTATATTTTTTACTCACTAGTTTTATACAGGTACGGACGAAAAGTTATTATTCTTCGAAATAGTTAAAATACATGTAGGTGGCGCCCCCCGCAAATAGTAGTCATACTGATATCAAAATCAAATTTCTCATATCAAAAAAACTCGCAGACACCAACATTCATCCAAATATTGACGTTACTTATTATTTGGAAAAAATCGAAATAACAATGAAACTTCTACACCCTGTATCTCCGAAACTATAAGCATTTTAGGACATACATTTATACTCTTTTTTTTATCTCTATATTTTTATCTGCAAAATATGCTGCCAATGTTTCCCGAATACAGTTCGGACCACCCTGTATACCGGGTGTGTCTCAAAAGTGGCTCACCCCTATAACTTTTTATTTTTTCAGATTTGGTATGTTTTTTATGACATAAATTAGAATTGATTGACGTATTCAATTGTTTTTGGTCACTTCCTGTTTCACCGGATTATTCGATAGAAAATAACACTCTCATTCTGAATAGAATGACATATCATAATATGTCAATTTTTGACATTTTCGAATATGGTTTATTTGAAATTGCAACATGCGGTTCATAGCGACAATTTGACTCGAAATACCAAGTGTGTGGTACCAAATTATTCGTAAAAAAATATCTTTTCCAAATATGATAATGAGCCACAATTTCCATTTGAAAAAATTGAGATATGATTAAAAATATGATTTGGACATCTTTTAACTGGTCAGGACAAAACACTAAAAACATTAGACAATCAAATTTATTTATCCAAGGGTCCTTGATTTAAGATTAGTGTTTTTAACACAGCAATGGCACTCTAGATTGAAATTTAAAATGCAATTTTGTTTTAAGAGAAAATATCAAAAGTTGACATATGATATGTCATTATATTTTGAGTGTCATTTTTTATCGAATCATGCCATTCAAAAATCAAAAGTTGTAGTCATTTCCGGTGAAACAGGAAGTAGCCGAAAAGAATTGATTACGTCAATCAATCCTAATTTATGTCATATACTAATATACCAAATCGCGTTTTTTTCTATCTGAAAAAATCAAAAAGTTATAGGGGTGAGCCACTTTTGAGACGCACCCGGTATATTATACAATATTGACTGGTCGTTATTGTTAATCCGTATCTGACTATCCGTATCATATTGACGTATAGCTGCATTTTATATGATAAGTCTTTTAACTTATAACTTATTATCTGTATTATTATGTATTATAGTGAAAGAGTTTGAGAATGCGGAAGAACACTTGATAATTGCCAGAAAACTAAGCGCCGGCAAAAGTTGGAACGTCAAGCAGTTCTTTCCAGATTACACCGATTCCAACACACTGTTTATGAACGCGAATTACTTACTGCACTTGGTGTACATGAAATTGGCACGCCAGTGGGCTAGAACCGACCAAGCAAAAGCTATCGAGTTCGCTATATTGGCAAAAAGAAGAGCAAACGAAGGTATGTACCTGTTAGGGTGCGCATCCACGTCATCTTAGAAAAAGCAGAACGGCGTATCGGCGTCACGACCTTGAATAAATTTCCAGTAATTCTATTGGCTGAAATTTGACATATGAATTTTCGAAAAATTTCAGTCAATAGAATTTCTGGAAATTGATTCAAGGTCGTTACGACGATCCGCTTTTTCTAGAATGATGTGGATGCACCCTCAATTATCAAACAAACGATAAATCACTTCAACTCAATGACTAAAGAATTCAAGGGCATGTAACGCCCATATACGGGCTGCAGCAGACTTTGTTACGTTAGACGCCATCATTTTGGAGCCTACGGATAAGTCACCATTTCGTCAACAGTGACAATTTTAGCGATTTTTAATAATTTGTTTTGTGTAGTGAACTTTTTATAAACTTTATTACAATGGTGATGTAACTATTTGGTCTCGGGTGTTATATGTCCTTGTATTCTTTAGTCATTGCTTCAACTACAATTATTCTCTACTTAGATAACACACAAAAAAAATACCACGGCTATGGCGACTGTTATTTTCATAACTTAGTTTTAGAAGTAACAACTGTTAAATAGCCGCTACACTATCTCCGAAATGTTTTACGAAATATTTATGGAAATATTTCGTAAAACATTTTTGTTAGAAAATTGTTAAAAAAAGTTTTGTTAACCCAGATTAACAATAAAAAACAAACAACCAATCACGGCGCGTCTCGATCAATTTCAGGAAACATGGGACCTAATTTTTATAACACGGGCTTACAGTACATTTGCTGGATCTGTGTCTATGGAAGGAATGCGGACAAAAAACATTTAAATAAACAGCAATAAATGTTATACGTCGACTTGATGAGTACGTCACCGCAAATCGCTCCGCCCACTCATTTTATTGGCTACTTGCAAATTTGTTGAATTTTTATTGATGGGACGCGTCGTCTATTTTTTTACGAATAACATCGAGAGAATATCGTTTCCCCTTCCACGGATACCCCGTAGCTACAGAACGGACAGACGTATATTTATCGTGCTATTTTGTGAAATATCACGAGACAATCAAGGTCAAACGTTGTTTTGGCTTCAGAAAAATAAGTAAACATGGAAAAACTGATATAAAAAGAGTTGCCGATGGCAAATTAAATTGGTTATGCTTCGAAGGTTACACAAGAATATTTAGTTTTAATCATTGTCTAATATTATTAATTACAACATAGTAAAAAACATAAAACAGTGACTAACTAGCGGTCTACCATTTATCGGCTTATAATCCATGGTATTGCGCCTCATGAACAAAATACACACAAAATTATTTAAAAAACCGTCTAATTATTTATTATTTCTGGTTATGGTAAAGTAACATTTATACTGTTGTCTGTAGCAAAGTTTAGTGTACGAATTTGGTTTTGTTTTTCTAATTTTAATTATCGAAATCCCCTGCATAATAAATATTAGTTGAATGAATTTATATTAAACCATCCTGGGTGCTAATAAAAGTATCGTTTGCAGATTTTTCTTAAGAACAATAAAAGAACATTGCTTTTAAATAATGTGCGTGATCATACTTTGGTTGACATCGGGTCAATTAATAATTTTCACAAGCGGATATATTGACAATGTTACCAGTATTACTCATCAAGCAATACTACTGTTATATTAATCAATTAAGGCCGTAAACAAACATATCATATACAATTTTATATACTAATTCATTATAATAAAATTAAATCATAAAAATATTGTAATTATATTCCTGCAGTTTAAGTGAAAAGTTATGTTCCTAAATATCTACTATACATAATAAACGCGTGTTCAAATATTAATTCTGTGGAATATAAATATAACACAAAACGAGATGTAATTAACGAAATATCATCGTAACAACGGCTATTTTAGAAACGTCTAGATTTACTTATTTCGCTGAGATTTATGAAAAAAAAATCCTTTGCCTCCGGTACAGATACCGACACGTTTTGGAAATAGCTCAAAACAAAACAAAATTGAACGGGGCAACAAAAAACGCCAAAAAAATCCCCCCTCGCCCTCCTCATGACGCTTTTAAGAATCGAAAGTAGGTCGAGGCAAATCGAAGTGGGTCAAGACAACTGGAAATAAATCGAAATGCGTTCAAAGTTGGGCGACGAAATGCGACCTTGACATGTTTCGAATAGTTTCTGGTAGTGATGGGTTGTTATTTAACTATCTGTTATTTTATAACAATTATTTATAAATAACATAACGCAACCGTTACTACTTCTAAAAAATAACAGATATAAAATAACGACACGTAGAGATCGGCCGCTCGTGAAACGAAAAACGAAGTCGCCGCTCTGCACCACCACGAAATCCTATGCTGCTCGAAGCAATTCCAAAAAACAACTAGTATGGATGGAAAACATGTTATTTCGTCAACCATCGATACAGGCGGCGAGACAACGGACAACGGAGTGGGGAAAGCGCTACGGCGAACGTAGCTGCTTCGGTCGAAACCGTCGATGGTCGTATTGGGTTTGCAACAGCTTAAAAATAATAGATAGGATATAAAAGAAGCAGTTTTTGAAACAGTTGCGGGCATAACGCCTGGCGGTCGAGATAACAGGAGTGGGAAAGAAACGCTGCTGCATCGGTCGATTGTCGATGGAGGCTCGCAACGGGTTGGAGAAGCAGTCATTTTAGATATGTTGTTTTTCAACCTGTTACGAGCATAACAGGGCGGCGGTCGAGATAATCGGAGTAGGAAAGGAACGCTGCTGCATCGGTCGATTGGGAATGGAGGTTTGAAACAGGTTGGGGAATAACGCATCAGTTGTTTTAGATACATTCTGTTTCAACCTGTTACGAGCATAACGGACGGAGGTCGAGATATTATGGCGCTGTATGTTTCAGTACTTACTTATTAAGTTTCAATATTTAGGTATTTATTTATTCTGAAAAATTTTCAGAATATTTTAAGATTTTTTAAAAATGTATACAGGGTGTTTTGAAAAATCTGGTCAGTGATTAATCACGATCCTGCTTAAAGCGCTTGACGTAAAAAGCTGATTTTTGGAAAACGGATTGACTTTAGTGTGTAGAGGTTCGATAAGAAGGGATTTTTCGAAACTCGAATTCTAAGGGGGTGAAACTGCTCTCAATTATTAGAATATTTTTTATTTAAAAACCGGTGAGTTTTTCGGAAAAACTCTTAAAACACGTATATTTTATTATGTTGTTTTACATATTTTAAGATTTTTTACAAATATATACAGGGTGTTTCATAAAATATGACCATTGAGTAATCACTATTCTGCTTAAATTGCTTGACGTTTAAAGCTGATTTTTGGCAAACGGATTGACTGTGGGGTTTAGGTTCGATAAGGAGGGGTACTCAATCGAATCTCAAATTCCAACAGGGTGAAAACGCCCCTCAAATATTACAATATTTGTTATTTAAAAAACGGTTAGTCGTTCGGGAAAACGTCTGGACACGCATAATTTATTTTGTTTTTTTTTTACATATTTTGAAATTTTTTAATAAATCATACAGGGTGTTCCAAAAAGTTGAGTAATTGATTAACCACGATTCTGCTTAAACAGCCGACGTTAGAAAGCTTATTTTTGGCAAATGTGAGAAAATTTTATCCAGTTTGTATGTTAATGGAAATTCTTGTTTTGCTTTATCATCACCATTAAAATTATTAATTCGACGCGAACGAAGTTGCGGGTACACGCTAGTTTAAGTGTAAAATTAATTCGAACTCTAGTGTGTAGTTGGTTTACTTATGAAGAATATACTACACATTTTCTTATATTGCTATTTTTTGACCGCAAATGGTAAAATCATAACTAAGAGCTTCTCGCCTGTCGAGTGAGATGCACCCTGTACACTGCTACGCAATTCAAGATCTACGCGGATCGAGGGGCAGGGCGTAGGTAGATCGGAATGTATAGGTATAGACGAGTGGCGGAATTTTGGCTTTTTTATATCGCAATTTGTAAACAGCGCTTATTTGTAAACAACCACCGTTTTTAGAGAGGTATTTTAGATAACAATCGATATTTAGAAATGTTTTGACACCCTTGAAATACTACCACCGAGCACGTCATTGTTGCAACTTGCAACTGCGTTAATACGCCTGGCGGTGACCGCCTCATACTTTTTCAGATATTTAGCAGTAAAATAAAGAAACCTGTTATTTTTAAGCTGTTATTTTAAGCTGTTTTTTATAAATAACTATAACAGTTTCAACTGTTATCTAAAAATAACAGTTTTGCCCATCACTAGTTTCTGGCATAGTGTGTACCCTGTTTTACACTGTTACAGACTCTTATTATTTATAAATAACCGTTGTAAAATAACAGAATTTTACATAACAGTCCGCTTCTAAATTGTAACAAATCTTTTTATTTTGATTTAGCTTGCTTTCACGATGGAGAAACGGAGGCATTATTGTTGAAAGGGCAGTGCGAGCTGAACTTGTCCCATTTAAAGAGCGCCATTAGCACGTTTAACAAGGCCTACTATATTCAAGCCAAACTGAAATCGAACAAAGGCATGTGCGAAGCCAGAGTTGAATTGTCTAAGGCCTACCTTATGTATGTAAATTCTTTTATACCTATTTACTATTATTTTCCAGTTCATGCAAAATACTTTTATATACACAGGGTGTCCCAGAAATAAGTGCAAGTATTTTAACTGGTAGTATAGTTCAGCCCCAGAAACACGCCTATGAGGTTTTTTTCGCAAAAAAAAATTTGAAAATTCGAAATTTTTTGAATTTTTTTTAGGTTTTAGTTAAAAAACATAATTTCTTGATAATATAGCAACATATAGTGTGACCAACGGATCTGTAGCTACGGGGTATCGGCAGGGGAACGCAGTTGTAAACAAGACACGCCCAATTTCATTCATAAAATAGGCATGGGCGTACGGTGTTTTATGAAAATAATGTGTATCATAAATATAAATTCTGATTAATAATTTTTTTTCAAAAAACTTTATTCTGTTTGAATCGTTACTGTTGAGTTAGCAGATAAACACACTAAAAGCTTTTATTAAAGCTCCCTTAAATATTTTGAATAATTTTATTATTATGTGTTGTTAATATAATATAAGAAATAATTACAGCTGGGGGTTGGAACCTTTGGTGTTACACAGCAAAATAAAACACTAAATCAGCACAATACACCAAAACACTTTTACTTTTACACTGGGCGTACGTTTCGCTAACCATGTTAACATCATCAGCAGATGATCAAGACTGAGTCTTGAGGTATATTTATTTATATATCTGTACTAACTATATTTTTGTCTACAATACATAATTTTAGATATAACTATTTCCAGCAAAAAAAATCTTGAAAATAGTTAACTTTGGAAGCGCAAACAAAACATAATTTTACTCACCAGTAGATCCAATATTGCCTATTACACCAGATATGGTATCGCTCCGCCAGCACTTTTTAAAGGTTAGGTCATTGTCTACCCATGTTTCATCCAAATAGATAATACTTGGCGATATTTTCGAATTTCGCGTATATATTTATATCTCTCTCTGCAATATAATGGGCCGCTCCATTAATATTTATCTGTTATTTTGACATTTACGCCAAAAAAATCCATTTAATTTTACTAACCCCCTAAGCGTTTCCCTGCCAAAGGAAAATTCGATTCTTCCTGATGCAATTTTTGCAAAAGCTTTCTAATTGTGGGGACGACTTTGAATTCGAGATAAAATCTATTTATCAAATTCCTGACCACTTGGAAATCAAAGTCGTCGAGCTCACGTAGCCGTTTCTTTCCAGGGCTGGATATCATTTTATCGGGGTAAGTTTCCAGTCTTTTTTTTTTCTTTTGTGTGAATTTTTTTATAGCCGATACGCTAACTCCGGTATAAAGAGATATCCGCTCAAGTTTACGTTTATGCGGCAACTTAAGCGAACTCTCTGTAGCTCTTCGTCGCAAACCCTGTTATGAACACAAGGAAATAAACCAAATGAGATTTCATCCACGGTTCTAATAATTACATTATTATTATTCTACTTACCTATATAAATTAGCTAGTATTTCTCTTGTCCTGGCTATGTAGCCTCTTACCCTTAACAAATTTATTAATTTTAAAACACTTAAAAACTACGAACAAAAAACATTATAACAAGATAACAAAACAATAAAACACATTTTAATTATTAAATATACGAAAAATATAGGAATAAAGTTTAGGATAACCGGTATAAAATAATGAAAGAAAGTAATAATGATCAAAAGAATGACACCGCCACTGGATACTTCAATAGTATTCAATATTTCTACTCTTTTCAGAAGTAACCGTGAAGTTGGGGATAAGGCTAGCGAATAGGAAAGGCGTAAAAGCCATGGCAACCGTGTGGTAACAAATCCTGTGACGTACTCTCGCCAATCATGGTCGATGAATAGGCGGCCATGCGGGGCGATGCCGGTTTGCCAATGATATCGTTGAAATATCTTCACCTTTCGTAATAAGCAGATTATACAGAATGAAAAAAATAAGTTATTAAATAAAACATATCCAACAATATGAACTACGTTAAAATTCCTTAGTAATATACGTCAGAATATATGCTAAACACATTATATATAATAAAAATATATTAAATTTATAGTTCATGTCTGGCAATTTTGGAATTTTATAGATAAACGTGGCAATATCGATTTTTTTTCTCGCATTCCTTCCGTAGCTTCAGATCCGCTGGTCAAACAGTATATATTAGATTAAATTTACAAGAAAGAAAATCCAGAAAAGATTCAGTGGCAATCAAAGTTTTAGCAAAAGTGACTCAAAGTTTTAGCAAAAAATCATTTTTTTGTAAATTTTTAAAGTAAAATAACTCCGTTATTTTGGACTTATTTGAAAAAAGATAAAGAGAAAATATTTTTTTTTATCGAGATCTAACACTTCTTAAAATATTTGCACTTATTTCTAGGACACCCTGTATAACAAAAATGTTGTTTATCTCGAAATAATGATTTTGGCACTTAGAACATTATTTACTTCAAGTCTTCAACTGCGCAAACTTTGGCTATTTCTTTACTAGTTTGTATGTATTGTTACGTTTTTTCACAGACTGGTTTCGCAACAGTATGAAACTGACAATGTTGCCGTTCCTCCAATAGTAATTACGATCTTTTCAAAATATGTAGGTCCGGAAATACAACTTTGGCACTCCAACATCTGCAACATCTCAAGGAAGTGGCCGAAAAACACAATTTGAAATTTTATCTGGCCCAAGCGTACCGGTACTTGGGCGAGTTTTATCTCAATAATGGTGAACCAAGTAAAGCCACCCCGCTATTATTGGACGCCCTCAATATTTTTTACGAGACCGGTGCTATTGTCCAAGCGGACCAGGTGAAAAAATTGGAAGCGCTATCTGCTGGTAAACAAAATAGTTAATTTTGTGTAACTACTACATACATACTGTCATTACTCGCTGACGAGTATTTGACACGCATCAAGAAGATTGTTGCGCAAAGCGTTTTCTTTCATGAGCTTTTCTGTGACTGAAAAGCCCTATACGCGATTTTATCTCTCTTCCGCACTTCGGACATTCAAAAATCTCATTACTTTGTTGCCTCTTTACTTTTGTCGCTGTTAACCGAGTTTATAATTCCTCTCCATTGTGTTCTATTGTGCGCTGCTTCCTCCCACTCATTCTGCATTATCCCCTTTAAGTTTTCGTGGAAAATATCTTTGTACCTTTTGATTTGTCCACCCGGTTTTCTCTTACCATCTACAAGCTCACCGTAAAGCAGAGATTTTGGTTGCAGTTTTCTTGCATTCTGCATACTTGACCAACCCATCTTAAGCGGGATTTCGTAATCATGACTTCAACGCTCTCGCAGGTAGCTTTTTCAAGGACCGATACGTTTGAGACATGGTGGAACCATTTGATTCTAAAGAGTTGCCTAAGGTGTCTCTGTTGCAACTTGTTTAATACGTTCATGTATCGGCGGTACGGCTCCCAGGTTTCGCTTCCATATAGCATGGTGGGGATTATTATTGCTCGGTACACTGCAAGTTTTGTTTTTGTGCTAAAGTCATGATTGTAGAAAACCCTGTCTTTTTTAATTTCCAGAATGCTCTTGAGGCGCTGCTAATCCCAAATCTAAAATCCCGCCGAATTTCGGAGTCGATATTGGCCTTTTCCGAAATCAAACTGCCGAGGTAATTGAATTCCGCTACATATTCCAATTCTTCTTCTCCGATTTTTAAAACATTGTTGTGATCTTCGGGGGGACTGCACATGATTTTAGTTTTATCGATGTTGAGTTTAAGGCCCAAAGCTTCGTATGCCCAGGTATATGTGTTCAACATTTCTTGTAATTGCTGTAACGTTTTTGCAACTAGAGCGCAGTTATCAGCGTATTGGAGTTCTGTGATGAATTTTGTACGTGTTTTTGCCCTGAGTCTTTTTATGTTGAACAGACCGCCGCACATACGGCAAAATAGGTACTTTACAGCGACAAAAACATTTTCATGGATTTAATTTGGTATTTAACTTAGAATTTACATGCAAAGCATATTTTAGTACAGAACTAACCATATATTTCTAATATAGACCTAATTTGGCTTATAATTTATATACAGTGTGTAACAAAATTTCCAAATCCACCAATACCTACGGTAATAAACTAGATATAATTATTATTATAAAAAAGAAATATTCTGAATGGAAACTTTAATTTTTACTTGCATATCTACCTTGGTAAATTGGTCAAAAAGAATTTTAAAAGACAGGTTGAAAGTAGATTTAAGAATAAAATTTAGTAGTGTAAAATTTTTCAAAGTTTTTTTTATTCGTATTGTCTTACTTAATCCTAAAATTATTTTTTGCCAGTGTATTGGAATTGTTACAAAGAAGGAAAACAATGAAAAAGGGTAAAATAAATTTTATCCCTTATTTATTCGCATTATGTGTTTTCTTCCTCTTGGATGTCAGAGTCAGAGTCGTCAGCTTGTTCCACATACATTTGTCCTAAAAATTCGGGTTCTTTTAACATTCCGATGACTACCGCCGAAAACGGTTTCCTCTTTTTTTGTACATCTTTGCGACAAGAAGTAATTACCGGATCGGATGAAACAAGTAGCCAGTTTATGATGTCCGTATCGGTGTTAATTCTCGATGTTTTTCTAGCATGAAATAACCTTAAGTTTTTGTAACTCTTATGACTGGCCTCTAAAACATCTTCGGATAATTGCCCAATAGGCAGAGGAAAAGACCGAATAATATCACTTCCATGGAGCAACAGCTTATACTGTAGCACTCATTTTGTACCATCCATAAAGCTGTATACACATTTGAGCGGTTTCAAGACAATAAATCTTAAATTTGTTTTCATTAATATAGTGCCCACTTGAAATCGCACTCAGAATGTTTGCAAATCTGGAAATTAAATCTTTATCGACACCTGTTATTTCCGACACTAACACTGGATTATCAAAAAATTTGCGGCCGTATTCCCATCATTACTGTTGCCTCCTCCCTGTTTTGGATGGTCTACAACCAATCCCATTTCTGAGTAAAATTGAGAAGTAATTGCTTTCTTTCTATTCTTAACACTTTCTTTTGCCTCTTGGCTTCTTGCCTGCCATTCTTTGTTGTCCATTTTATAAGAAACATGTCTGCTTGCAAAGCCGCCTGCGCTTTTATAAATTATCATTCGAAAAAAATATAAACGGATTTAAATGGGGAGTTACTTATAGAATTCTACTAGCTGTGTTTTTTTGTGCTTAGTTTGAATAAAAAAATATGGTTTTGTCGCTGTAAAGTACCTATTTTGCCGTATGTGCGCCGTCGTATCTGTATCTAATGCCCAATCCTCTTTCCTGTAGTTTGCTGTCCACTATAATGGAGAGCGCTGCCATAAATATGTTGAATAGAAGAGGCGCTAAGACACATCCCTGCCTAACTCCTGTATTTTTTTGGAATGGATCACTCAGTGATCCATGATGTGACACTCAATCTTGACTTGTTCTTATGGAGGCTTTTACACACTGCAAGATCTGCACTTGTGGACATACCGTATGATCGAGAAAAAACGGCGTCAACGATGGCTATGAAATGAAGATCGCTGTCATTTTATATGTAAATTTATATGGGAAATGTCATCGATCGTCATTTCCCAGCCAACTGGACGCCATTTTTTTTCGATCATACGGTATTTGTTGCACGACGACGCATGAGTTTTGCAGCTGACTGAAATGCTTATTTAAATGTTTATTAAAAAGTTTTTGGAGTAATTCACAGAATAATATTACCACCAACAATGACACTTTTATTTTTTTAATAACTTTTTTGAGTTCATTTTAATTTTAATGTCGCAGTTTGAAAAATTCACTAAGGTAATTGATGACAAACTTCACTTTCCAGTAATCTTTTGAATTTTATTTTCCTTTCCGTTCCTGGAGGTCTCGGGTTCTTGTTCTTCACTTAAATCTCTTCTCCGGAATGTTGCTGCGAGCTGTCCAGTACTGGTACTATGGGTTTATCTTCCAGGATTTGAGAAATTTTTATAAAACTTTTTTTTTGTCTTTAGTTAAAGTGGTCTTTAATAGTGTTTGGTCAACTGGTATCGCTTATACAGAGAAGACCAGGCTACTAGTAACATAGCAAGTTGCCGGACGAATTTACGTTTACCCGTTTTGCGTTCGTACTCGAGATTCACTGTCGGCTGGTCAGGCAGTACGCAGTTGCAGTTGTGCTTGGACGGGTCGGTCGTGACAGACTAGGAATACGACGCGAGGAGTGCCGAGTATTTATTATTTTCATTTTAAGTGTTTACCTTCACTTAAGGTAACATTTAAAATGAAAATACTTAAATATTTATTATTTGAGTGTGTTTACAAGCCAAAACTAAAAATAAATAAATTCTCTAAACCCAAAAAAAAACTAAAATATTACTCTAAATAAAAAAAAGTTATAACAAGTGTTCAAAAAGACCATCTTCTTGTGCTAGACAGAAGCCTAGGTGGTCCAAACCAAATCCCCGTCTGACATTGGCTAACATATTAGGGCTAATAGTTTGGAAAGCCTCTCGTATTTTTACTTGAAGCTCATCCAGATTATTAGCCCTATTATGACCATACACTTTGGATTTTACATAACCCCACAAAAATAAATCATTGGGAGAAAGATCTGGTGATCTAGCGGGCCACAAAATAGTTCCATATCCACTAATTAAACGGATGGGAAAAGTATTGTTCAAATATTCGAATACGAACAATATATAATATTGTTCAACAACAATACGGGCATTGTGGGCAGGACAACCACCTCAGCAATTTGATTACTTGAAAACGTGGGATTTTGATCCGCGGTAGCACAAATGAACACTTGCTTTAACTCCTGTTCTTCATTAATGAACACATCAGGCTTTTTGTGTTTTTGTGGGAACACGCACCCATGTGTTTCAAAATTATTAATAACTGTTGATACAGTAGGTAAAGATGGAATTGGCCTGTTTACAAAAGTTTGTGGAAAAATTGTTTGTATATCCCGATAAGACCTATTTTGGAAATACCATTTTACAATTTGAATTTTCTCACGAACTTCGTAAACATCCATTATTTTACTTAAAAAAAAATTTACACGAGAACTGTCGCGAGAATCTATGTATTCGTTTTGGCTATTAAAACACGAATAAATACAAATTCTGCTTTTTATCCGGCGGACGGGTATACGCTAATTCGTCCGGTTCTGCCTATGTTACTACTACGGTGGTCCGGTCTGTATATTTAGTATTATATACAGGGTTGTTCACCACATACGACACGGAGTATTGTAGCTAAACGATTAGATTTTTACAAATTGTAAGTTTTGGGTTCGTTGAAGGTCTATTAGAGCTACAATTTAAAAATATTTTTACAAGATACAGAGTGTCCTAAATAAGTAAAAAATATTATAGTTGTATTTTTTTAAATGGAACACCCTGTATATTATTCTATTTTTGCATTCTACGATTGAAATAAAGGTAAATTTGATTAAGGTTTATCACACTTAAACATTACCGTTTTTGAAATATTTTCAATTTTATGAAATTGCAGTAAAAATTTTAAGGCTTTATTTCTCCCAGAGTATAAAAGTTTTTAATATTAAATATTTACTGAAGATTATTTATTGATAAGATATTGTGTTGCAATAATAAAAATTTTACTACCTTATACAGAGTGTCCAAAATTTATATTAAATATTTACTAGCTTTAAACGGCAATAACTTGTTTAATTTAAATGGAACACCCTATATATTTTACGTCAATCAGATGCACAATGTAATTGTTATCAAATTGTATTATACCATTATTTACCCATCTCTTCAAGTTTTCGTAGAAAATGCATTTTCTTATAATTTAGACCTCATTTATCACTATACCCATGGAATATTGACATTTCAGATTTTTTTATAGTACCATAATATGTACAAAATGTACAGGTGGTAAATATTGCAAGCCCATTGGCATAAAAAAAACTATTTAAATCTTTGTAAAAGAGTATATCAATTAAATATACCACCATTATTTCCTACCAAAAACACCAAAACTTAAATTGTTTTAATTAATAAATTATTCTAAATAAATGTGGATTTGGCTCAGAAATCAATATAATAATAAGTTATGAAAATGAATGTGTCTGTTTTTATAAATAAGCATTCGTCAATAAATGAAATAAAATTTATAAGGTGTTACTTTTTACCACACTGTCTAATACACACACAAAATTCAGTTTTTTAGTATTTGGAGCAATTATTACTACAACGTAAACAGTCAATTAATGTAGTTTGAATACTGGAATCATATTAATTGGTCCTCTGTAACAAAAAATATTTAAACAGTTTTTTTTTATTTTTTTTTTATTAAATAAGCGAATTATATCGACAATATTAGTATCTGTACCCTTTGAAAATTTGTTACATCTTTAAAAATAAGCTAAAATGTCAATATTCCAAGGGTATAGTGATAAATGAAGTCTAAATTATAAGAAAATGCATTTTCTATGAAAACTTGAGGAGATGGGTAAAAAATGGAACAATACAATTTGATAGACAATTACATTGTGCATCTGATTCATGTAAAATATATAGGGTGTTCCATTTTAATTAAACAAGTTGTTGCCGTTTAAAGCTAGTAATTATTTAATATAAGATTTTTGGACACTCTGTATATTTATTATTGCAACACAATATTTGATCAATAAATAATCTTCAGTAAATATTTAGTATTAAAAACTTTGATACCCTTGGAGAAATGAAGCCTTAACATTTTTACTGCAATTTTATAAAATTGAAAATATTTCAAAAACGGTAAGGTTTAAGTGTGATAAACCTTAATCAAATTTACCTTTATTTTAATCGTAGAATCTAAAAATAGAATAATATACAGGGAGTTCTATTTAAAAAAATACAACTATAATATTTTTTACACATTTGGGACACTCTGTATCTTGTAAAAATATTTTTAAATTGTAGCTCTAATAGTCCTTCAACGAACCCAAAACGTACAATTTGTAAAAATCTAATCGTTTAGTTACAATACTCCGTGTCGTATGTGGTGAACAACCCTGTATAATGTAATAAGAATATTTGAATTCATATGTTTTTTTTGACAGGAATAATACATTTTCAACATCATGCCGACCTTAAATTAAAATTTATTAAAAATAACGGAAATAAGAAACGTTTTTCCGCAACTTTTTAGATCAAATAAATTATTTCTTGTCTAATTTTATACATGGGTTTTATTTTATCCTTACTCAATCCTAAAAAATCTGAGACAATTTTTTTTTAATTTAGGATTAGAACTGATGCCCCAATACATCCAGTTAATAAAGAAAACTGATAGGAATCGTAAAGATTGGTTTGAAAATTTGATGAAACTCGTAAAATGGAAGGATCTAAGGTATATTTTACACTAAAAACATAGTGTGTGCACTAGGGTTCAGAACCGGGAAATCCCGATACCGATAGTACCGGGAGTTTCCTATTCTTTTGAGACATCAAAGAACCGGGACTCGAAATTATTAATTCCCGGTTCTTTCGGTATTTTCGGGACTCGCTAATAATAATTAAAAACATATTTTTTGTTACGTGCTAAAGACTTTTGATACTGTCTAGCGGTCGAAATCAAACTCTTCTAAATAAGTCAGTAGTGATGCTATCTCTTACTGTTCTTACTTCTGAAGTTATTTTGAAGTTTCTATAATGTTTATTAGCAATTATTGAGGTTTAAATATGTTATTTTATTATTTAATATAATATTGCTGAATGTATTAGTTATATTTTTTTGTGTTATGTTTTTATAGGTATTTGCATCTTTAATTGAAAATTATAAGTTTTTTTTTCAAATTTAGTTAAGTTGGTTTCGAGGTTGGTTGACGTTGTTTGGTGTAATTTTTATGCTACCTATGTGTTTTCTTTTTTTTCGCTTGTGTTCATGTTTACTTTCTCATGACTTAATAATTTGATATTATTTTCATTTGAAACTCAATTTTTATCGGTTTTACTTTTGAGAACAATCCCTTGCTTGCTAATTGACGAACTCCACAATCATTGAACGAAAATATTTTCGTATGGTTCTGGAAACTCTAATTAATACTACCAATTAGGGTTCAGAACTTTTTGGCCATCACAGAACCGGGCCTCGGTAACAATAATTAAAAAATTATTTTTTTGTTACGTGAGAAAGTCCTTTGATACTTTCCAGCGGTCGAAATCAAACTCTTCTAAAAAAGTAATGATGCTATTTCTTATTGTTCTTGCTTCTTTTCTCTTTTGAAGTTCCTATAATATTTATTATGTTATGTTTTAATAGTTATTTGCATTTTTAATTCAATATTTTAGGGCGTTTGTCTCAAATTCAGTTAAATTGGTTTATGTTGCTTGATGTGAAATTTAAGTTATCTATACTTTTTTCTTACTTATGTTCATGTTTGTGTTCATGTTAATTTTTTTATGACTGATTACTTAATAATTCGATATTATTTTTATTAAAAATCTCGATTTTTTATCCATTTTACTTTAAAAAGCCATCCCTTGCTTTCTGATTGATGAATTGCACCATCATTGAACAAAAATTAGTGAGTATCCAAAAGTACCGAAAAAATCGGGAAATCGCGGTTCTTGGTAGGTAGTAAACTTAAAAAAAGGTACAGGGTGTGTCTCACTAAGAATAGCTCTCGGCTGTATCTCAGAAAGTATTAGCCGTAGCGGCTGCGGAAAAAATATTTATAACTAAAGAGGCTATGGGAAATTGCTGGAAATTATTTTCAAGTTTGTAGAACGACCGCTAGGGGGCGCAACTGCAACAAAAAATAAGAAAATGGAGTTTTTATACAATTTTGCCTAGATAAGGTGTACTATAAGTAACAGCTTCATAATCTTAAGTAAATTATGAATATTTTTTGTTAGAGCCATTTTCCCCTATCTACCAAAATAAAGTGGTGGGAGAAGGTTAGATCTGTTTTTATTTGAATATTAATAACTCTGGACTGGATGATCGAAATCTAACAAGCGAGGGCTCGTATAAAAGAGCGTTTCTTACTCTATATTGTACCGTATAAACAATTATAATAAGCTTTTGAACGTAGACGCTAGGGGGCGTAAACAATTTGACGTTTATACTGTTACGCGAAAAGCAACTTTTTTCCAAAGCCTACCATGACTTCACTGTATCATCGTTTCTTGTTCACTATTATTAATATCTTAATTATTAGATATTAATACATCTGGTATTATGGTATTTTGGTATTTCGTCGATTTTAAAATAAAGTAACTGTTTCTGTCTTATGTTTTTGTTAAAATGGTTTAATCAAGAGGGCTAAGGTAATTAAGGGCTTATTTTTTGGTATTTATTATAATTTTGCTAATATCTTCGGTTTGAAAGAAGATATCAAGATGCGGTTTTCGTTTACTTTTTAAGCTTTTACTACTCTTTACTAACAGCTAAAATAACACATACTATCGTATTTAATTTTTTTTGAAAAAACGCGCTATGTTTGTTAAATTGTAAGACAACGCCCCCTAGCGTCTACGTTCAAAACCTTATTATTATTATTTTTATGGTATAATATAGAGTAAGAAACGCTCTTTTTAACGAGCCCTCGTTTGTTGGATTCTGATCATCCAATCCGGAGTTATTAACATTTAAATAAAGATATATCTCACCTTCCCCCACCACTTTATTTTAGCAGATAGGGGAATATGGTTCTAACAAAAAAAATCCAAAATTTACTGAAGATTATGAAGCTATTATTTATTATTATTTATACCCATTATCTAGGCAAAATTCTGTAAAAATATATTTTCTTATTTTCCATAGAAGTTGCGCCACCTAGTGGCCGTTTTATAAACTTGAAAATAATTTCCAGCAATTTCTCATAGCCCCTTTAGTTATAAATATTTTTTTCCGTAAGCCCTACGGCTAATACTTTTCGAGATACAGTCGAGAGCTATTCTTAGTGGGACACTCGATACTTGGAAGAAAATTATAATAAATCGAAAAAATATTAAGACTTTGCACCCTGCAGCTACGAAACAAAACAGAATCGGACCTATGTTGATAGGAAAAATAAATCTTATTTTTACGTGAGGAATCTCCCCACGAGAGATGGCACATGTTTTTTGAATCACCCTGTATGCTCTAGTCTAGGCGAATGCCATTTTCAGTGTACGTTCTGTAACACTTCCGGTTTAGCCGGAAGTAACTGCCAGTCTGCTTAACTATTTTGTGTTGTTTGGATTCTAGAGAACCATTTTGGGATAGAAAAGAGGACTCAGATATAGAAGTACAACGAAAGTCAATAGCAGAACTAAGATTTGAAGAGATGTCCATCAATTTTAAAGCTCACACGGCTACGCAAGCCACATCAGTCGAGCTCGGCTCCGAGACCAACTTTTTATACGTAAGTAAAAGGTTTTCGTTTGGTTTGGTCGGTGCAAATAGACCTGCAACAAATCATCAGTTTCAAAAAGACTTAAATCTTAAGTCATACGTAAAATCAAAAAAATTTAAATTTTAACTAAATTTCACCATATAGATTAAACAGGTGGTCCTTGCTGTATCCCGGAGACTTTGGCGGCATATTCTGCAGATAAAAATAAGCAATAAAGTTCGTATTGTGTCCTAAAATGCTTAGTTTCGGAGATACAGGGTGTAGAAGTTTCATTTTTATTTCGATTTTTTCTAAATAATTCCTGAAGTATCAATATTTGGATGAAAAATGGTGGAGTTTTTTTTTTGACATGAGAAAATGACTCCTACTTGCAGAGGGCGCCACCTACAAAATTTTGACCTGAGTAAAAACTAACTGTTTTTATCTTAGTTTTTCTTCTTTAGTATCTTTTTGTTAGAATGGGCATAATCAAGAGGGCTACTGATACCGTGTTCAGGTATCAAGGGCTTATTTTTTGGTATTTATTATAATTTTGCTAATATTTTCGGTTTGAAAAAAGATATCAAGATGCGGTTTTCGCTGACTTTTTAAGCTTTTTCTACTCTTTCCGATCAGCTAAAACTATATATACTATTGCATTTAATTTTTTTGAAAAAACGCGCAATGTTTGTTAAATTATAAGACAACGCCCCCTAGCGTCTATGTTCAAAAGCTTATTATTATTGTTTATATGGTATAATATAGAGTACGAAACGCTCTTTTAAACGAGCTCTCGCTTGTTGGATTCTGATCATCCAGTCCAGAGTTATTAATATTTAAATAAAACCAGATCTGACCCCCCCCCACACTTTATTTTGGTAGATAGAGGATAATGGCTCTAACAAATACAGGCATGGACGAAAAGTTATAACTCTTCAGAATAGTTGAAACACATGTAAGTGGCGCCCCCTACAAACTAGAGTCATGATCAAAATCAAATTTCTCATGTCAAAAAACTTCCACTTCCACACCAATTTTCATCCGAATATTGACGTTACTTCAGAAATTATTTGGAAAAAATCGAAATAAAAATGAAACTTCTACACCCTGTATCTCCAAAACTAAGCATTTTTGAACATACATTTATACGAACTTTTTTACTTATTTTTATCTGCAAAATCTGTTGCCGAAGTTTCCGGAATACAGTTCGGACCACCCTGTATAGTAATAATTTAAATCTTAAACCTTTGACTTAAAAATCATTTTCTGGTCAAGTCAACACAATTTCGTAAAGACTTGAATAAAAACGACTTAACCCTTTATAGGTTGATGGTCTCTAAATCGACCACTTTAATTTTACCAACTAATCAGTCGCGTGGAAGTGTATATATCGCCTTGAAAAAGATATACCGGGTGCGTCTCAAAAATGGCTCATCTTCCCTATAACTTTTTTATTTTTTTAGTTAAAAAAAAACAGATTTGGTATGTTAGTATACGACATAAATTAGGATTGATTGACGTATTCAATTGTTTTCGGTCACTTCCTGTTTCACTGGAAATGTCTACAACCTTTGATTTTTAAATGGCACCCTCGGTATTTTTTTACTTTATTCGATAAAAAATAACACTCTGAATAGAATGACATATTATCATATATCAACTTTTGACATTTTCGCATATGGTTTATTTCAAATTATAACTTGCAGTTCGTAACGAAAATTTGACTCGAAATACCAAGTGTGTGGTATCAAATTATTCGTAAAAAATGCTTTTTTCAAATATGCTAATGAGCCACAATCGTTCCATTTGAAAAAATTGAGATATGATTAAAAATACGATTTGAGCATGTTCTAACTGGCCAGGACAAGACACTAAAAATATTAGACGATCAAATCTATTTTTCCAAGGCTTCTTCATTAAGAATTAGTGGTTTTAACATAGCCATGGCACTCTAGATTCAAATTTAAAATACAATTTTTTATTAAGCGAAAATGTCAAAAGTTGACATATGACATGTCATTCTATTCAGAATGTCATTTTCTATCGAATAAAGTAAAAAATACCGAGGGTGCCATTTAAAAATCGAAAGTTGTAGTCATTTCCGGTGAAACAGGAAGTGACCAAAAACAATTAAATACGTCAATCAATCCTGATCTATGTCATATACTAACGTACCAAGTCTCGTTATTTTATCTGAAGAAATAAAAAAGTTATAGGGGTGAGCCACTGTTGAGACGCACCCGGTATACTGTGGAAACGTCGTCGATAAAAATAAAATAATAAACAAAATCCAGTAAGATCTTTACAACCCCAACGACCTAAAGCCAAGAATACAAAGAAAAAAATATATAGTATACAGGTCAAAGAAACGAAACCAAAAAAAATATAAAAAATATAGACTTTTAAGTAATAAAAAACAGCTTAAATTACTTATTTAAGTCGTTTTTATTTAAGTCTTTACGAAATTGACTTCAAAATCACCATCAAAACACAATTCTTTCTTTCAATCAACGGTATAAGGTTTTTTGATACACTGATACTTTATTACTTTCCCTATAGTTATAGTTCTACCTGAAAAATAATCTTCTAAAGCTCCACCTGTGTTATTTGGGTTGCCACGGTCGAATACAACATGGCGTGTAAGCAATCGCAATTCGAAATTACGAAAAATTTTTAAAATCTAAAATATACGCATTTTCGCTTAAAAAGCGTTGGAAATATCAATTAAAAATTCTAAACAAACGAAAAAAAGTAACAAAAAGGATCCGGGTCTAGCTATATTGGTCGGGCTGACACAAGGTTCCCGCTCCCAGGCGCGATCCCACTACTGCACGACGCGGGGACTTTTGGCTGCTGGGTTACCCCCCTGGCCCGTTGCGCCCCTCCTTGGCCGACCTGGCCACCTAGGGCTCCCCCCAGGTGTCCATATCGACGCCGTGCTTAGTGTGGACGCCCGGTCGACGCGAGACGCCTTGCACCAGGACTCCCGACCTCAAACCATCCGCCGAACCCGACCTCCAAGCAGCTGGATTACAGGAGACGCCACGCTCCCAGTCGAAAGAAGTTCTTCTTATCGGGGTCTCTTTCGTCTGAAATGATATTTAAAGTAGGTTAAAATGGAATATATTGAAGTAATTCTTGTAATAATCAATGAAAACATCTGAAATATATTATAAAAACAAAGCAATAAACTTTAATATAGTTTTAATTTGGTTTTAATAAATAAAATGCGTATTTTAATGTACTTTACTAGTTGGCATAAAAACCTAAGTGTATATTGAGTTGCCTATAGAGTACTAAAAAGTTTCGCATATTTGTTGATTTTTGTGTTTTGATTATTATTCATTTTCTACAAACTTTAATAAACAACAAGCGTTGTGCATTGATAACAATAACAAAAATGCACTAGGTTTGTTTGATAATTAAAAAATGCTTAAAGTTATAATGTAGGTATTAAAAAGAGATTGTAGAAAAATGATGTAAACCAAAAGACTAGCCATAAAATACACCATAAAATTTATGTATTACCACAGGTATTACTAATATAATAGATTATTTATAGATTACTTATTATTGTTTGCTGTAAAATAAAACTATAGTTCGTGGTAAAACATTTTTAATTTTTATTTTTATCGTAGATTCCGAAATTATAATTGAATTATATGGCGGAGGTGCTGGGTTTGTGCCAAGTATCAATTTCAAACTTTTTTTTCATTTTTATAACAATTATTGTTTAAATGCTATACAGGGTGAGTCTTAAATAAGTGCAAATATTTTTAGGGGTAGTATATTTCGATGTCTATGAGGTTTTTTACCCGAAATTTTTTTTTAGAAATTTGGATTTGTTTTTAATTTTTAGTTAAAAAACAGAACATCTTCATAATATAGCAACATAGATAGTAGATTAAATTTACAAGAAAAAATCCAGTGTTTCTCAAAATTTAAGATTTTTTTTATTATTTTTTTTAATTTTCAAATTAAAATCTCTTGGCTATTTTGGACTTATTTGAAAAACGGTAGAGAGGAAATATGTTTATTTTACCGAGATCTACCAGCCCTGAAAATAGTTGCACTTATTTAACGCACCCTGTAGAGTGCTGAAATATTTCTTCTACAGAGTGTCCCTGAAATAATTGCAAGTATTTTAATCGGTAGTATAATTCAACTCCAGAAACACACCTATGAGGTTTTTTCGCAACATTTTTTTTTCAAACTTCGAAATTTTTTGGATTTTTTTTAGTTTTTAGTTAAAAAACATAATTTCTTGATAATATGGCAACATAGGTATTAGATTAAATTTACAAGAAAGAAAATCCAGAAAAGATCCAGTGGTTCTCAAAATTTTAGCAAAAAATCACGTTTTCTGGAATTTTCAAAGTAAAATATCTAACTCCGTTAATTTGGACTTATTTGGAAAACAATAAAGAGAAAATATGTTTCTTTTATTATTATCTATATATAAATTCTGGTCAGAACGTCCTACGACGTTGTCCGATGCCTAACTTCCACCCTGTGCGATTTTCCCATTGATCTTCGGTCAGATTTTTCTCGCTCATCGACCTTCTTATTCTTTCCATCCATGGTTTCTTGGGACGTCCCCTCTTTCGTTTACCAGGTGGTATCCAATGAATGACTTGTTTTGGAATTCTTTCATTGTGCATTCTCTGAACGTGGCCGTACCATATTAATTGTTTTTGTTCTATATCATTTACTATTGTTCCCTCTAGTCCCATCTGTTGTCTAATGTCTTCATTTCTGATCTTATCCCTCCGTGAAATTCTCATTGCTCTTCTAATCGCGTCCATTTCTGTTGTCTCTAATTTCCTTTTATTCCTTTCAGTGAGTCGCCATGTTTCACATCCATAGAGTAATATGCTTTTAACTAGTGTCTCATATATATTATATTTCCTGTTTTTTGTAATTTCAGTGCTCCATAGAATGCCATTTATGCATCTGATAACTCTTCGTGCCTGTATTACTCTGTTGTTTATTTCTCTATCGTCCGTTCCATCTCCTGTAAATATCGATCC